AGCGGGGCCATTTGCTGTGCTGAGGCCTCCCCGGGCTCACGGGGGTCACGACACTGGCCACAGCCCCCGGAATGCTGCCTGGCCCCCTTGTTGGGGGGGGCCCGACCCCCCCAGGATGGGGATGGGGGCCGTGGGCACCCACCACCAAAACTTCCACTGTAATGCACTGTGCTCAAAGCCCCGATTGAACCCCCTCGTGCCCGTCCTCTCAGCACATTGTGCCCCCCCAGTCCCTTGGTGGAGGCTTTGCCACCCGCCACCAGTGGGATGCCACCCCACGAGGGGCTGTCGGCAAGGTGACACTCCTGCACAGGGGTCTGTGGTGGCCAGTTTGCGCCATGGGGTGGGGTTTGGGGGGGTCTCCAGGTGGGAGATGTCAGAGCAGCTCTGGAGCCAGGGTAGGTCCTGTGGAGCTGCCCCCAAAGTCCCTCGCCACGACAGTGGCAGCACCAGTAGCACTGCTGACCCTCTGCCGGCCCGGGGGTCGCTGTGGCTTCCTGGGGAACACCAGGGTTCTGACTGACATCCCAGGGGGACACCGGGCCCGGGGGGATCCGGCGGGGGGGCTCTGCCACACTGGCTGCGGTGCCAGGATGCTCGTCCGGTCGCTGTGGCAACAGGGGATAAAGGTTACCGGGACACCGGTCACAGCTGGGCATGTGCCGGGAGGGGGGCCACCCCCGGCCCCCCCCGCTCTTTGTTCCCACTGGAGCCCGGATTGGGGCTCCCACACCCGCCCCCTCAGCCCCCTGACTGGAGCCCCCCCAGATCCAGGGAGCCCCAAGGTGCTATGTGCCAGTGGTGGCTCTGCTGCATCCCCATGTCCTTGTGTCCCCATATCATCACTTCCCACTGACCTTGAGCAGCTCCAGCCCCCCTGTTCCTTGCCAGGCCTTCGCCCCAGCCCCTCCAGCCCCCCATCGCCCCTCATTAAGCTCCCTCCCCGCGGGTCGCTGGGAGTCACGGGTAGCCCCTCAATGGGTTTAGGACCCAATTAACCTTCCCGGGTTCCTCCTGCAGTTAAAGACCCCTGGGGGTGTGGGGGCTTTGGGGGTGGTGGCCGGGGATTAGCAGGGGGGCGGGGGGCAGCCGGGGGGAACCCGAGAGCTTTATGGCTCTGCTGCCTGTAAAGCCCTTTCCCTCCTTCTGTTCAGGAACCATAAAACCCCCCACAATTGCCCCGGGGAGGGTGAGGAGGGAGGAAAAATCATAATAATAACGGAGCGGTGGCAGTCAGAGGTGGGGAGCGGACCCGTGGCGCATCCGGACGGGTGTCCGGGGCTGTGGGACCCCCAGCGTGGGGCCACGCAGGAGGAGGGGCTGCCCTCTGGTATTTATTTTGGGGGCCCCCGAGCTGTGAAGGGGCAGGAGGGAGGCCTGGGGGCCACGAGCGTTGCCGTGGCTCAGGGAGGAAAACCCCAGTGTGTCGTCAATTTTATGGGTAATAAAATTTCAAAGCCGCCCGAGTCTATTAATGCCTGGGAAGGAAATTCGTCGGGGGGCAGCAGGAGGGGGGCAGCGCCTCACACTTCCCTCCCTTCCGCTTGCCCTTCGCACCCGGCCCCCCTGTCCCGGGGGTCCCACGCCTGGAGCAGGTGGAGAGACCCTGGGGGATCTGCGGGGGGGGACAGGGCTACATCACGTCCCAGCAAAGTCCTCGTGACCTGTCCCCTCCCTGCTGTCCCACTGGGGACTGTTCCTCACAGCCCTCACAGCCCCTCGCTGCACTGGCCTGTCCCCAGCACAGTCTGTTGTCACCTTGATGTCACCCTGTTAGACACTGTGTTTGTCACCCTGCCATCACCTGGCTGACACTTTCCTGTCACCCTGCCCTGTGCCCTGGGGACTGGGAGGTCACCGTGCCACCTGCCCCATGCCCCCAGTCTGCTCCCCGTGCCAGGTCCCACTACCCAATGCGGAGTCCTGGTGTTACTCCCAGTGCCCAGTCCCACTCCTGACTGATGCCAGTGTCCGGTCACAGTCTCAAGTGCCCAGTTCCCAGTCCCAGTTCCCAGTGCCAGGTCCCAGTACTCAGTGGCTGATACCAGTCCCTACTACCAAGTCCCAGTCCCCCTTCACTGGTCCCAGTTCCCAGATCTAGTCTCCAGTCCTAGTCCCCCGTGCCAGGTCCCAGCACTCAGTGCTAGGTCCCAGTGCCCAGTCCCCAGTGTCAGCTCCCAGTGCCAGTGCTGGGTCCTGGTGCTACTGCCCAGTCCCAGTACCCAGTGCCGGGTTCCAGCACTCAGCACCCAAAGTCAGGTGCCAGCACTCAGTACCAGTTCCCAGTCCCCGGTCCCAGCTTCCAGTATCAGGTCCCAGGACACAGTGCCACCTTTCAGTCCCCAGTCCCAGCACCCAGTCCCTGGTTCCAGTACACAGCACCAGCTCCCAGTTCCCAGACACCAGTCCCAACTCCCAGTCCCCAGTCCCAGGCCCCAGTGGCCAGTCCCAGTCCCATCTCCCGGTTCCCGGTGCCCCGTACCGGGGCTGCCGCAGCCAGACTGTCCCATCCCCATGTCCCCACATCCCTGTGTCCCCATGCCCCCACGTCCCTGTGTCCCCGCGGGACCCGCGCAGACCGGGGGGAACCGAGAAGCCCCGGAGGAGGGGGGGGTGTCAAGAAGCCCCAGGGAGGGTCGGGGAGCTCCGGGGGGATGTTGGGGAGCACCGAGGAAGGTCGGGGAGCCCCGGGGGAGGCAGCGGAGGATGGGGCGTCCCAGAGGGACGGTGCCGGCGGGTGGGGAGAGGACGGGGGGACCAGGAGGGGAACCGAAGGGGGAGCCCGGGCCGGGGATGGGGGTTGGAGGGGGAGTCCTCCGGCGAAGTTTGCAGCGGAACAAAGGGCGGCACTGACTTTCCTGGGCCATGCTGATGACGGTCTCGGTGGTGGCGTGGTACTCGTCCTCCTCCAGGTACTCGTCGTGCTGCAGCGAGTCCCCCTGGAAGTCGTGGAGGTCCAGGAGCTGCTGGAGCGGGGGGGCCTTGGGCAGCAGCTGCTTAACCACCTCCCGGGTGATGTTGGGCGCTTCCTTCAGCCGCAGCTTGCTCAGGATCTGCGACTTGATGCTCTCCAGCCGCAGCTCTTTGCTCTGCCGCCGCCACAGGCACACGGGGCAGGCGGGCTCGGAGGCGGGGGGCTGCTCCACCGACCCCCCCCCGGCCACTACCGCCACCACCGACCCCAACAACCACCACAACGGGGCCATGCCGGGGGGGAAAACAAAAAAATACATAAAAGAAAAAGAAAAGAAAGAAGAAAAAAAAATAAAACCCTTCCCCACCGGGCCGCCCCCCCGCCCCGCTTCCACCGCAACGCGCAAGGGGGGGAAGGCGGTAACGGCGGCGGGGGCGGGGAAGCGGGGACCCCGGGGGCCGAAGGGGATGAAAAAGCGGCGGTAGCCGCGGCCCCGGGGTTTTATACCCCAAGAGAAGTGTGTCGTCAGCGGCCTTGATTGGCTGCGGGCGCACAAAAGAGGTTCTGGCAGGGGCTTGGCACCAGCCGCCGCCGGCCCCCCGAGCCCGGGGAACGGCCCCGCCGCCGCCCGGTGCGCCCCGGACTCCCCGCCCGGCTCCGGTTCGGGGCGGGGGGCGGCGCGGCGAGACCCGCTCCCGGCAAGTGCGGCCGGGGGGATGCGCGTCCCAGCAAGTGCACCGCCCCCCAGGATGCGCGTCCCGGGCCCCCCCGGACTCCCCCCACCCTCAGAGCCCCCTCTGCTCGCCCCGCTCCGCTGCCGGCCCCGGTAGAGCCCTCGAGAACCATCGGTGGGTTCCAGGACCAGCGAGGGCTGACAGAGCCTGGCTCAGGAAAGCCCAACTCTGAGCTGGGGGGCATGGGGGTCCCCGGTGGGCTGCAGTGGGCGCTGGGGGGTGGGGTGCCCGCCCTGGGAGAAGCCTGGCACTGGGAAGTGCTGCAGTGACCATCAGTGGGTTCCAGGACTAACAGGGACCTTGGCCGAGGGAAGCCCCCTCGTAAGCTGGGGGGCGTGGGGATCCCCGGGGAGCTACAGCGGGTGCGGGGGGGGGGTGTGGCAGAAAGGGGACTGACCACTGTGGGAGAAGCCTGGCACCGGGCAGAGCTGCAGCCACCGTCAGTGGGTCCCAGGGGCAACGAGGACCATCACACCATGGCCGAGGGGAGACCAGCCACGAGAGTTGGGGGCCATGGGGACCCCGAGGGGTCACGGGGGTCCTGTTCCCAAGGTGGAGGCGCTCGAGCTTTGGGGGGGCAGAGCAGTGAGGTTGGGGAGACGGGCAAAGCCTGGCACGGGGCAGATGACACTGTCAGTAGGTTCCAGGAGAAACAACGATTGGCACAAGCACTGAGAGCAGTGCGGGGACCCCACAGGTGACCCGAGACACCCCCCCTCACTCCCGGTGTCGGCCCCATCAGAACCATGGAGAGGGGAAGAGACACCGGCGATACACCGGCACCACTCCGGCGCGGTGGGGTTGGTGAGGGGATCCTGGCCCTGTGAGGTGGGAGAGTGACTCGGCCTCGGCGGGGACCCTGTCCCGGGGTGGTGCGGCAGGTTTGGAGGGGGGCGGCCCCGTTACCCCCCGGTCCCGGGGGGGCGGTTCCAGAGCGTCCCGCCAGGCGGCGCCACTGAGCTCCCGGGGCCCGTCCCACAGCACCGGGGGGGGCGACGCCACCGCGCGGCCACCGGGGGAACTGCAGGGGGGACACGGGGACCCCCCGGGAACCCCCCGGGACACCAGGGACACACAGGGACCCGAAAGGGACACCACAGGGACCCCATAGAGACCCCACAAGGACCCCACACGGGACCCGTAGCGGGGCTTTCCCCGCCGCCACTGCAGCACCGCTCCCCGGGGTGACACCCCGGGGAAGTCGTGCCGGTCCGTCCCCCGCTACACCGGGATCCCGCCGCCCTCGAGGGTCTCGCCACCGTCGGTGTGACCCCTCCGCCGGGTCCTCCCGCTCCGGGCCGCGGAAGTGAGCGGGTTAAGGCGGCTCCGTGACGCACCCGCCGTCCCCGCCCACGGGCCTCCCGAGGAGCTGTCAGCGGCCCCGGCCCCGGTAACGGCAGTGGCGGGGTCTCCCGAGGGGCCCGGGGGTCCCCCCGGGGGCGGCTCGGGGTGGAGGGGCACCGAGGGGTTGGGGTCCGGGTAGGGGAGGGAAGTTTGTGCCGCGGTCGTTACGGGGAGGCCCCATCTCCCCGCGCCTTCCGGGGGGCAGCGGGGACCCCCCCCGCCCCGACCGCTTCCTGCACACGCGGGACAGACCTCCCCACACCCCGAGGGGGCACCATCGGGGAGGCGCAGCCCCATGGCCACATGTCCATCTCCCCACGTCCCCGTGTCCCCATGTCCTCATGGTCCCGTGTCCCCATGCCCACGTCCTCATGTCCACACCTCTCCATGCCGCCACGGTCCCGTTCCCATGTTTGTGTCCCCACGTCCCCATGTCACCCTGTCTCCACATCCTCATGTCCTCATGTCCCCACGTCCCCAGCTCCACATCCCCACGTCCAGGTCCCCGTGTCCCTGCAGGCCCATGTCCCCACTTCCACATCCTGACGTCCCCACGTCTTTGTCCGCACATCCCTATGTCCCCATGTCACCCTGTCCCCCAGTGTCCCCACATACCCCCTCCTCCCTCTGCTCCCGGGATCATTTCGGGGCCAAGCAGGGCCCGTCCCTGGGCTCTGCCCCTCCCAAGGGGTCCCTGGGGTTCCCCTGAGCCCCGTGTCCCCCCAGCCCGTCCCGCCATGGGGGGGCTGCTGCAGGCACTCGTGGGGGTCTCGGAGAAGGCGGCGGAGCTGGCGCGGCTGTGCCGGCAGGAGGAGCCGCTGTTCCAGCTCCTGGTGGCCGAGAAGACGGGCCCCGACAGGAACAGGAGGTTCCTGCAGGACTTCAAGACCCTAGCGGACGTTCTCATCCAGGAGGTCATAAAGCACGACCTGGGCAAGGAGGTGGGCACGGACTCGGGGATCCTCGGGGTACCCCACGCCCCCCGCGCCATGCTGAGCCCCTCTGTGCCCCCCCAGTTCCCAGAGCTCCAGGGCCACATCCACGGGGAGGAGTCCAATGAGTTCAGGGATGTGCATGGTGAGTCGGAGGTCACTGGGGCAAGGGACCCCACACTGGAACCACAGGGCTGTGAATGAGTCGGGGGTCCCAGGGTCATGGCTGAGGGGGTCCCCACACTGGGTCTGCAGAGCCATGGCTCACTCGGGGGTCCCTTCAGCAGGGCCTGGGTGGGGCTGTGGCTGAGGAGGGGGTCTGCACACTGGGTTTATGAGGCTATGACTTAGTCGGGGGTCCCCATGCCAGGGATGTGGCTGAACTGGGGGTCCCCACACTGGGTCTGTGGGGCTGTGGCTGAGCTGGGGGTGCCTGTGATGGGGCTGGGGCTGACTCAGGGTGTGGCAGGGGGCACGGTGGCCGTGCATGTCTGTGGCACACGGGAGGACACGGTGGCCCTGCTGCTGTCGGTGCTGGGCCCAGAGCAGGCGGCGGCCGAGCTGCTGGCAGACGCCGTGCACCGGGACGTGGTGCTGGGGGATGTGGCACTGGCGGGCGCTGAGCCCGGTGTGTCTCCCCGGGACCTGGCTGTGTGGATAGACCCCATTGGTGAGTGAGGGGCTGCGGGGGTGGGGGGCAGGGACCCTGCCGTGTGGCACCGCTGAGCCCCGACTGCGCTCCCCAGACTCCACCAACGAGTACATCAAGGGCCGCGAGGACGTGCCCCCTGTGGATGGCATCGCCCCCGCTGGGCTCTGCTCTGCCCTGGTGCTCGTTGGGGCCTTCGACCGCCTCTCTGGCTGCCCCGTCCTGGGAGTCATCAATGAGCCCTTCTTCCGACGGGACCCCCAGACCCGCAGGTACCAGCACCGCAGGGGCACTCTAGGGGCACCGGGGCAACCCCCAGCGATGGGAGGATCCACACTCACTGTGCCCGTGTCCCTGCAGGTGGCAGGGCAGGTACCACTGGGGCGTGGCCCATGGGGACACCCGGCTGTGCTCGCTGAGCCCCCCCGACCCCCACCCCGTGCCCCGCGTGGTGCTGAGCCGGGCAGAAGGGGCGGCGGTGCGGGGGGCTCTGGGCCCCCTGTGCGGGGGTCACCTGCACTTTGCGGCGGGAGCGGGGTACAAGATGCTGTGCGTGATCCTGGGGCTGGCGGACGCCTATGTGCTGTCTGAGGGGACCACCTTCGCCTGGGATGCCTGTGCCCCCCATGCCATCCTGCGGGCCCTGGGCGGGGGGCTGGTGGCCCTGGAGGGGGCCCTGCGGGCACGGCAGGAGGGGCGCACCGGGGACCCCCCTGAGCTGGTCTATAACCGCCCAGCAGAGGGGGTGGGGGGGGCCGAGCGCTGGGCAAACCGAGGGGGCCTCGTGGCTTATCTGCACCCCCAGCACCTGGATGCCGTGCTGGGGGCACTGGCCACTGTGCCCGGGCTGTGAGCCCACAGCGGCCGGGACCCCCACGAGTGGGTATGGGGGGGCTGGGACCAAGGACAATGGGATGGCAGGGACCCTGGCATGGAAGGTCAGAGGGGTCTGGGACCCCAAGGTGTGGGCTCAGGAGGGGCTGGGACCCCAAGGTGTGGGCTCAGGGCTGTCTGAGGCCCCAGGATGCAGAGCAGGGGCTCTCAAGGACCTTGAGATGCAGTCACAGGGTGACAGGGACCAAGGGCAGGGAGATGGCAGGGACTCCGGGTTTGGGGTCAGGGATCTCAAAGTGTGGGGTAGGGGGGCTGAGACCCCAGAATTGGGATCAGGGGTGTCAGGGGTACAGGGTAAGGGAGGACAGGGCCTCCGGGGTTCCCCGGTGCTGGGGTGGCCGAGACCCCCTGACCGAGGGCTGCCAGGATGGGGTGGGAGCTCTCAGTGCCGGTTCCCCTCGGTGGGAATCCCCGTGTGTCCCCTCCCATTAAAGCGCCTCTCGCACCCCCGCGTCTGTCCTGCGTGTCCTGCCGGGGCGGGGCGGGCCCGGGGCGGTGCCGGGGCGGGTCCGGGGTCCTGTTGACTCCCCCGGGCCCATCACATGATCGGGGAGCCCTCGGGAAGGACGGCGGGGAACGGGAGCGCCGGGATCACCGGGACCGGGTGGGGAGCGGCACCGGGACGAGCGGGAACCGGGGAGGGGGGAGCGGCACCGGGACTACCGGGACTGCAGAGAGGAGCGGCAGCGGTCCAAGGGGAACGGGGGGAAGAGCGGTATCGGGAGCACCGGGAGCGGCACCGGGACCACCGGCAACTCGCTGAGGCTTATGGGCCGGGGGGGAGCGGTACCGGGAACTTCGGGAGCTCCTGGACCGGGGTGGGGAGCGGGACCGGGAGCACCGGGACGGGGGAGAGGAGGGGAGCTGCCCCGGGAACTCTGGGAGCAGCGGGACCAGGGAATGAAGCAGCACCGGGAGCACCGGACGGGAACCGGGACCGGAGTGGGCGGAGCGGCACCGGGAGCACCGGGACTGGCGCGGGTTGTGGAGCAGCCCTGGGAGCATCGGGACTGGCGCGGGTTGTGGAGCAGCCCCCGGAGCTCCGGGAGCGGGGGCGGGCAGCACCGGGAATTACGGGAGCACCGGGACCGGGACGAGAACGGTGCCAGAACAGCGGGGCTCGGTCCTTGGGCTCGGGACTGGGGGTCCTGGGCCGGTGAACGGGAGCGGGGCTCGGGCCGGGCGCGGTGCCGGGGCCGCTGCTGAGCGGCGGCTCTCCCAGGACAGGCCATGGCGGTCGAGGGGGGAATGAAATGCGTGAAGTTCCTGGTTTTCTTCTTCAACTTCATCTTCTGGGTAAGTGCGGGGCCGGGGGGCACCGGGGGGCACCCGAGGGGGGTCTGCAGAACCTGGCAGGTGGACCCAGCCCCCCACTCCCCACATCCCACAGACCCTGGGTTGGGGGTCGCGGGGACCGGGAGGGGAGATCCTGCTGTCGTGGGGGTGGTCCTGGAGGGGTAGGGAGGGACCACCGTGCCCACTCTGGGTCCCTGCAGCCCCATGTGCCGTCCGTCGGTTCCAGGGTTAACGGGGGGAGCCCGGCCCTGGGGTCACGGTGGGGATCCCGCGGGTGACCGGGGTCCCCGTGGTTGGGGGGGACCCCTCTGCCCGGGGTCCCCTGATAAGCAGGGCGTGGGTTTGGGGAAGTCGGGGTGAGGAAAGAGGCGCGAGAACCCAACGGCTGCAGCGGGGGATGGGGGTGTGGGGGGTCACGGGCCCCTTCCCTGCCGCTCTCCCGCCCCCCCACGCATGGAGTCACTTGTCCCCACCCTGATCCTGCCGGGCTGAGTCACCCCTCGAGGGCCGGGGGAAGCGGGGGGGGACACGGTGACACGGCGCCAGCCCCCCCCGCCCCCTCCGCTGTTTGTGCGGCGGCGGCCGAGCCCACGCCCCTCGAGCAAACAGGGCACGGCACGGGGGGGTCCCGCCGCCACCGGGACACGGGGGGAACTTGGCGGGGGTTCCACCCTTGCGGGGGGCTTGGAAATGGGGGGAAATAGACCCCACAGCCGGGCAGGGGCAAGGAGTCCTGGCTCCCGTGAGAGTGGGCTGCTGGTGCTTCCTGGTGTGATAACCCTCCCCCCCACCATCACCCACGATCCACAGGGACCCCCAGGGCGGTGAGCTGGTGCCAGATTCCCCCGCCGAGGCCTCGCGTGGCCAGAAGGCTGGACTTCCTGGACTTTCTGGCGCTCACAGAGCCAGCGGTGGCTCCCCCCTCTGTGCCCCCCCTTCCACCGCGGCAGGGCTGTGCTGGGAGAGAAACCCCCCATGGCCCCCAGGAAGGGGGTCCTCCGTGTGAAGCCAAACCCCAGAGAGGCTGCGGGTGCCCCCCCCCGCTCCGTGGCTTGGGGTGGTCCCAGGGAGGTCCTGGCTGTACCCTAACGCTCTGTACCCCCCCAGGTGTGTGGTGTGGCCCTGATTGCCATCGGCATCTACGCCCAGGTGGCCCTGGGTAAGGCCCTGGTGGTCAGCAGTGGCTCCTCAGCCGGGACCCCCGTGGCTATCCTGGTCCTGGGCGTCATCATCTTCTTCATCTCCTTCTTTGGCTGCTGCGGTGCCTGGAAGGAGAGTTACTGCATGGTCACCACGGTGAGGGGGTACACCCTGCTGGGACCCCCCTGGGACATCCCCATCCAAGCCCCCCCCCACAGGGACACCCCCATCCAAGCCCCCCACCCTGACCACCCCCAATGTGACCCCCACCCGATCCCCCATCATAATCCCCACTGTGACTCCCAGCCCAATCTCCCCTCCCTGAGCCCCCACCATGCCCCTCCCACTGTGACCCCCTCACCACAACCCCCATGACCTCCTGCACCCAGCCTTTCACTGTAACCTCCCACTCTGACCCCCAGTGTGACTCCCCCCACCATAACCCCTCTTGTGACCCCCTCAACTCACCCCTTCACTGTGAACCCCCACCATAACCCCTCACTAACCATGACCCCCCCACACTGTGACCCTCCACCCCAAAATACCTGACACCCCCCCAAATCTCTCCCTGTAACCCCTATCATGACCTTCCCTCACTCTGACACCTCACCTGACGCTGCCGCTACAACCCCCCCTCAGCCCCCATGAACCCCCACCTCCATTGTGACCCCTGCCCTCCCAACTTCCCCCTGCCCCTGTGAACCCCCTGACCACCCCCGTGCCCCCCAGTTTGCTGTCCTGCTCAGCATTATCTTCCTGGTGGAAATCGCCGCTGCCATCGCTGGATACGTCTTCAAGGACAAGGTGGGCACACGTGGGACAGGGACACAGCCCTCACCCCGGGGTCCCAGGGATCCCCCTCAGCTCCGGTGTGACCCACATCCCCCCCCAGGTGCGCTCGGTGCTGAACGAGGGGCTGCAGGAGGCCATGAACAAGTACGGGAAGGACCCAGCGGTGACCGAAGCGCTGGACGAGCTCCAGAGGGACGTGAGTATCAGGGTGGGGGTGCCGGGGGGACGTCCAGCCCACCCTGACCCCCCTTCTCCTCTCAGTTCAACTGCTGTGGGGCCATCAACTACACGGACTGGGCCAACATCGAGCAGTTCCAGGCCAATGACACTGTGCCCAGGTCGTGCTGCCGCGTCAACACCACCACCTGCAACGTCCACCCTAGCCCTGCAACCGTCTACGCGAAGGTGAGACCCCCCTCCCAGACCCTCCTGCCATGCCCTGTGGGGGTCCTGAGCCCCCTGACCGCCCCTGTGCCCCCCAGGGCTGCGTGCAGAGCATCGAGGGGTGGATGAAGAAGAACATCCTGGTCGTGGCCGCAGTGGCTCTGGGCATTGCCTTCTTTGAGGTGGGATGTGGGGCCGAACCCCTGCAATGTGGGGCCTTCTTAACACCCCCGCTATGGGACTGCCCCCCAACCCCTCTGGAGTGGGACTGACTCCCCCCCCGCCCCACGTGGGACTGATTCCCCTTTTTCCCCCCCAGATCCTGGGCATCATCTTCGCCTGCTGCCTCATGAGGGGGATCCGCAGCGGCTATGAGGTCATGTAGCCACCCCAACACCCCCAGGGGTGCTCTGAGGTCCTGGGGGGTCCCCCTTGGCTCTGCCAGAGCAGGGTCCATGTGCCAACATCCCCCCAAGTGTCCCCGCCTGGGGGGACCGGGGGGTGTTCCAGGTGTGGAAATAAAGAGAAAAAGCTTCTGTAGAGCTGAGTGTGCCCCTTGGGAGTGGGGGAGGGTGGAGGTCCCTCAGGGTGGGACAAGGACCCTCCGGGGTGGGGGCCCCATGTGCCATGTCAGAGTCCCCAAGTTCCTACATGTCACTGTGACGTCCCCAGCAATCCCCGAGCAGGCTGGGGGGTTTATTCACTACCCTTGGGGGGGTTCTCACAGCCCTGTGGGGGTCTGGGAGCTCTCTGGGCCACCTCAATGATCCCAACAGTCCCTGAGTGCCACCTCAATGTCCCCAAGTGCCCATATGCAACCTCAATGTCCCCAAATCCCCAAGTGCCAACAGCCCCCAACGGCCCCGAGCAGGCAGGGGTCGGGCCAGGGGATTTATTCACCACACTTTGGGGGCCTCGCCGCCTCCGGAGGGGAGTCTGGGGGGGTCTAACGGACACGGTGGGCTGGCTTGGGCAGGATGGTGGCCAGGACCAGATCCACGATGCAGGAGGGCAGGTAGGAGGCCGGGAGCCAGAGCAGCTTCGCATCCCAGCCCGCACTGTAGCGGGTCCGGGGGTGTCGTGCCCCCAGCGCATGTTCAATGCACCCCGTGACCTTGGTCAGGTCCCCGTCACACATCAGCGTCATGATGAACCTCTGCACCTTCAGGTCTGGGGAGTGTGAAAGAGGAGGGTCAGGAAAGGGGGAACCAAGGCAGAGATGAGCTGGTAGCATCGTGTGGATGCAAAGGATGCAGGAAATGGGGGTGGTATGGAAGGAAACTGAGGCAGCTCAGGGGGATAAGGGAGAAAAGGGTTCAGGAGGAGAGAAACTGAGGCAGAGCCCTCTGCCCACTCACACTTATAGGAGCCCCCCCCTTCCCCCCTCACAGTTTTGGAAGCCCCCCATCTCCTCCCATTTTCGAAAGAAGTCCCCTCTTCACCCACATTTTTGGAAGAAGTCCTCCCCGTAGCTCAGCCGTGTCTCGGGCGCCAGGCGCTCCCAGAGCTGCTGCAGCGATGCCTCGATGACGTCGAGGTTGGTCACGGCCGTCTTGAAAAACCCGGGCTCAACAATGCTCACCTTGACCCCAAAGTGGTACATGTCCCTTCTAGGGGACACAGGGGGAATCAGGGGGGCTCTGGGACACCGGGGGGTCAGGGGTGGGTGGGGGGCTCCAGGGCAGGTGGGGCCTGGAACGCACCGCAGGCTGTCGGAGAAGGCCTCGACGCAGTACTTGGACATGCAGTAGCCGCCGCCGTTGGCCGAGACCCGGCCTAGGACACTGGACGTGTTGACCACCCGGCCCCGCGCCCGTTTGAGCAGCGGCAGCAGCTGTAGCGTCACCTCGATGGCCCCGAAGGTGTTGACGGCCATGACCCGTCGATAGTCCTCGATGTCCATCCACTCCGTGGGGCCGATCGGGTTGGCCACTCCCGCATTGTTCACCAGCCCGAACAGGCCTGTGGGGGGCAGGGGGCGTGGTCCCCCTGCCATGGCCCTGCTCCAGGGCCCCTCCCCTGGGACCCCCATCCCACCCCCAGTGTGTTCTGGTGGGACCCTCCCTCCATATCCCTGTGCCTCCCTCAGGAGCCCCATCCTGCCTCCAGGGTGCCTTGGCAGGACCCTCCCCTCTGTCCTGCCCCATGGCCTTCCCTGCTGGGACCCCCCCAACCTGTAGCCCCTCTCTGGGGCTCCCCACAGCACCCCCCTGCCCTTCACCTTGCGATGCCCTGGTGGGACACCTCCCCCCGCCACGTTGCACTCTTTAACCCCCTGTGGGGGACCCCTAATCCTGCCACACAGCACCTCCCTGGGGACTTCATCCTCCCTGAGGACCCCTCAGGTCCTGTCCCACCCCACAACCCCTCCCTGTGCCCCCACCCCCGTGTCCCCCTTGCCCTCACCTTTCTCTCCCACCTCTGCCCTCACCCACTCCCCGGCCCTGCGGATGCTGTCAGAGCAGGTCACATCCAGCAGGGTGGTCCGGAGGTGGCCCCCGCAGCTCCTCTGGAGGCTCTCGGCGCCGTGCGGGGTCAGGCAGGCAGCGAGCACTCGGTAGCCCCTCCGGCTGAGCCGCCGGGCCAGGAGGTTGCCAAAGCCGCTGTCACAGCCCGTGATGAAAACGTGCTTGTCCTTCACCGAGGGCAGGGTCCGGTGGTCTCGCACGAGCCAGCCCAGCACCCAGGCCAGGGCAGCCAGCACCACGTACAGCCACATGGGGGGGCCTGCGGGGCGGGGGGGCTGTGGGACCCTCGCCACGACCCCCCTGCAGCCTGGGTGAAGCCTGGCTGGACCCCCAGCCTGCCCCAGTGCCACCAGCACCACGTACAGCCTTGCACCAGGGCAGGGGACTGTGGGACCCCTGCCAGGACTCCCCCTGCACCCCAAGAGGAGCCCCAACCCCTCACACTTGATGTGAGGATGCCCACCCTGGCCCCCCCCGGGGTTCTGGCCCTCCTCAGGTGGAAGGTCGGCAAAGGGGGGCACTCAGTGCCCAGGTGCTTCGGGGCACACAGGTGACCCCAGGGGCGTCCCTGTCCCCTCCAGGTTAGTGTTTGGTCCCCCAGGCCCCCCGCTCGGGGTGGGGGGTGGGCCTCCCGAGCCCCCTGTGATCCCTGACCCACCTCCCCGCGGACAGGCCGGGCCCGCAGGCAGCCAAGCCTGGATTAACCGGTCGTATGTCACCACCTGGGCTGGACTCAGCGCCGGGGGGGGCTCTGGGGGGGCCCCACCACAGCCCCTCCTGCAGCAGGAGCGACCCCCAGGGCCCTCTGCCCCCCGGGGCCTGCAGGGAGGGGTCTGGCACCGGAGGGTCTGGGACCCCCACCCCTCGTAGGGAAGGAGCCCTAGGGGGGCTGTGCCCCTGTCCAGGAGCCCCGTCTGAGGGGTTTTGGGGGTGTCAGGACCCCTCATTTCTTGTTGGGAATTATGAACCTGCTGGGGTGGGAGGGACCCCCTTTGCCACCCTTGGGCTTGAGGGGGGACACTAAAGGGAGGGGACAGTCTGTCTTATGTCCCCAGAGCCAGGGGGGAGTTGTTCTCCCCTCCAGAAGGCCCATCTGGGAGGGCAGGTGCCAGGACTCCCATTGCTCCTCACTCTCACGTTTAGGGGGGACACTGAAGGGTGGGGGGACACTCAGAGTCTGTCCTGCACCCCCAGAGCTGGGCGGGGGGTGGGTAGGAGCCCCCACCCACCCTGGACAAACTCCCCTCACCCAGCCCCAGGACAGAACCCCCTCTCTGGTCAGAAACCCCCTGGAAGACCCCCATGGGTCAGGGGTGCAAAGGGGGGTCCCCACCTACCTCTTGAGGGCACAGGGCTCCAGGCGCTGTTCTGGTCACGGTGCTGGGGCTGAGTGTGGTGAGGGGGGTCCCGTGAGAGCCAGGGAGGGGGAGGGGGGGCCATGGCCGCTCCTCCCTGTGCCCAGCACGGCCAAAGGTCTCGGTGGGCTGAACTCCCTCCCCCGCAACATTCCGGGGGAGGGGGGGGCTTGAGCACCTCTGGGGGTGCTGGGAGACCCCCTCCCGTTGTTGAGGGACCCTCCCCATGGAGGAGGTCCTGCCCACAGAGACCCTGGGACCCCCTCCCAGCCCTGGGGGATGGGGGGCCATCACCCCCTCCCCTGGGGGATTAGAGCCCTCCCAGCACTGGGAAATAGGGAGGGCATCACCCAGAGCCCCCCCAGCGAGGGGATTTAGAGCCCAGAACGGGCCCTTTGTCCCGAGGAAAAAGGAGCCTCTGAGCCAAGTTAAGCACTAAGGAGGATGAGGTGGCTTAGGGGGAACCGGGGGGGGGCTGTACCAGGGTCCTGCTGGTGCCTGGCCCGGCCCCCCACTCCCCTGAGCTCCCCACACTTTATTCCACCCATTCCCAGGGCTGGGGGTCCCGGGAACACTCCAGGACCTGCTGCTGCAGGACCCCCATCCTGTGCTGGGAGCAGCCACAGTGCTGGGGGTCCTGGGGGTCCCTCAGGAGCAGGAGGAGGGCTGGAGCTGCCCCTTGTAGACGTACTCGAGAGCGGTGGCAATGGTCCTCATGTCCATCTCGATGCTCCGTGCCCAGTTCTCCACATCACCAATCTCCTGCGGGACAGGGGGGCCTGGAGGTTTGGGGGGATCCCATGGGGGCTCAGGGATTTGGGGGGGTCCCATGGTGGAGGGAGGGCTCCCTGGGTGCTCCCTGAGACCCTCTGGATTCTGTTGGGACCCCCTGGTTGCTGCCTGAGACCCCCTAGATGCCACCCAGGACCCCCTTGATGCTGCCCAAGACCCCTGGGTGCTGCCCACCCACTCCAGCACTAACCCAGGAGTCTGGGGGCTGCATCCTCCCCCCAAAGACACAGGGGACCTTTCCCCCCTGTCCCAGTGCCCCATCCCCTCATTCCTCAGTGCCCTAACTCAGTCCCAGGGGCGTCCCAGAGTGACTCCCTCCCTGTGGCAGGTCAGGAGTGGGATCCTCCCCAGGGGCCGTGGATTGTGGAGAGGGGTCCCCCACCTTGAGGGCCTGGTTGAAGTTCTCCACCATGGAGATCCAGTGCCCCGTCTGCCGGGCAAACTGGGCCGCCTGCACCTGCAGGGTTTTCACCTCCTGGTCCAGTTTGCGCTGGTTCACGTAGGCCTGGGCCACCCTAGGGGGGTATGGGAGGGGCTGGGTCATGGGGTCCTGCCCTGACACCCTCCAGGGCAGGGGTAGCCCCCGAAAAGGGACAAAGAGCTGGGAAGGGGTTAGGGGGAGGAGGGGGTGTTGGGCGGGGTTTTGGGGAGGAAGGGGTGAGGGGTGGGGGTCTTAGGGGGGGTCCCCAGCTGGGGGCTTGAGGGTTCTGTGAGGCTGGAATTCCCTGGGAAGGAGGGCCTGCAGGGCTCGGGGATCCCCAGGCAGGGGTTTGGGGATCAGGGAGTCTTCAGAGAGGGTTTGGGGGTTCCCAGCCGTGGTTTGCGGCCTGGGGGTCCTCAGTCGGGGTCCGGAGGTTCCCAGCCGTGGTGTGGGGGTCCCTAGGGGGGTTGGGGATCCGGGGGTCCCTGGTCAGCTGTCCCCAGTCCGGGTCAGGGGTTGCAGGCTCACCCCACATTGAGATGATCGACCAGGGCCTCTGTGAGGCGCGTGGCGGCCGCGATCGCGTCCCTTCGGCGCCGCTCTGTGATGGGATGGGGGGGTCACACACATACAGGGCAGGACCCCCAAGCCCCCGCGACCCCCGTGACGTCAGTATGCTCGTGCGTGACGTCATCGTGCCACCACTCCCCTCCCGCTTCCCTCCTTGACGGACAGTGGTGCCAACCAATGGGGCGCAGCCCGTGGTGAGTGGCAGGTGCCGCAGCCAATGGCGGGTGGGGCCGTCGCGGCCGCCATGGGGACGGGGGCGGGGCTCACCCTGCAGCTCGCGCCGCTCGCTCTGCCGGGCCTGGTGCTCCTTCAGCAGCCGCGACAGCATGGCCGGGACACGTGACCGTGACGTCACCGACACGTGATTCCCAAACCGGCACGTGACACGGAGCGTGGGGACACGTGACCTGGGGGCTGTGGGGGTCTCTGGGGGATGGGGGGGGTCTGTGTGGGAGACTGGGGGGGACTATGGGGGATTGAGGGGAGTCTGTAGGGCACTGGGAGGCTGTAGAGGACTGGGGAGGTCTAGAGGGTCCTGCACTCCAGGGGCTGCTGGAATGACACCCCCCCCCACACACACACACACACTTTTCCTCTCCAGGTGTTCCCGAGTGGGAATTCCCGCCCTGCCACCCCCTTCCCGGCCCTGAATCCTCGGGAATTGTTCCGCTCAGGGAGGGACTGGAGCCGGAGCCGCCGCCAGGAAAGTGCTCCTGGAATTCCTTCGGGAGAGCCGAGAGGGGGGGCTGCCAAAAAAAACCGTTGGGGTCACCCCGGGAGCCGGGGAAGGGAAGAGGAGCGGGAGGAAGGTCATACCCTCCCCTTGGGGAGGGGGAGGAAGGATGAGGAAAGCAGAAGGATTCAGGAGCCCCAGAACTGGGAGGATGATAAGGAGGAAGATCCTGTTCCCTCAGGCTGGGCACGGGAGGGAGGATGAGGAAGGCACAAAAGCCGGGGTTCAGCAGCCCCAGAGGATGAGGAGGAGGAAGATCCATCATTCCCTCGCGTTGGGGAGGGAGGATGAGGACGGTGAAAGTCAAAGTGGGGAGGGGGCTCAGGGTCCTGCAGCTCTCGATTCCTCATCCCCGCGGTGCCGCTCCCAGTTCTTCCAGCAGGGACCTGGCGGAATTCCCGCAGAACCCGAGTGCGAAACGTGGCCGGAGATAAACCCGGGAGGATAAAAATAATCCCGACTCCGGTTCCAGCCCCGCCGAGCCCCGGGAGCGGCTCCGCGATCGATCCCGGGAGCCAAGGAGTGTTTTGGGACTGGGGGGGGGGGAAACTGTCGGGATTCCTCCCCCTTCCCCCCTCCCCACCTTTCCGGGATTGGCTCCGGGAGGGTCTCGGCGAGTTTTGGGGTGGGCAGGGACCGCCATTCTCGGCAATTCCTGCCCCGCCTTCCGCAGGAACGGGAGGTCAGTGCCCGGTGGGGACCTTTCAGGTGACAAGCGACCTTCGCCCAGGTGCCACGGGGGGGTGACACCTCTCCAGGTGCTCATCCTGTTGCGAATGTGCTGATGGGGAGCTGCTCCTGTCCCTCTCCCCGTCCGCGGACGGTGCTCCGGGGGGATCCCGGATCCTTGGATCCCATCCAGCCCTTCCCGGAGTTCGCGGAGAGTTTCCCTCCCTCCTTCCCTCCCATCCCTGCCCCACCCCATCGCCGCTCCCATCTCCGCTCCCCAGGGAGCGCTTCCCTGTCGCCCACTCGGAGCTCCCGATCCCATCAAAGCCTTGGCCGCAGTCCTGGAGCTGTGGGAGCGGGGATGAGCGCGGCCCCAGTTGCTCCCTCTGTGCGGGCGGTGGGAAGGGGGGGGTGGAAACAGCCCCGCGAGCCTCATGCTCCGTATGCACATCCTTCACTTTTTGAGACGCTCGTCCCAAAAATAACCCCCTGGAGATGGGACGGACGGCATGGAGGGTTCGTGTCCAGGGATGCCGAGGTGGGACGAGGTCGTGGGACAGTTCTGGGGTTGGAAATCCCCATCCCAAAGGATCCCTGGGCTCTAATCAGGAGCAGCTGCTGCCTCCAGCACATCTCCAGAAAAGGGGGGAGCTCCAGGCCGAGACCCCCAAAGATCCATCCCAGAACTCGAGTTCAGCTCATTTTGAGGGAAAACAACCTGGATTTGGAGCCTCAGGAGCTCATATCAGGCAAGGTTTGGGTTGTTACTCCCTGGAGCAGATTTGGAGGTCTCCTCTGTGCCATCACCACCCTGAATCCTGGTTTATCCCTCTTCCCGATGTCCTTCCCAGTTATCCTGCACATTCTCCTCCCTGGGGAACCCACCGGGGGGGCAGAGGCCAAGTAGCCCCCCTGGGAATGGGTCTATTCCCATCCTCCGCTCCCAGGCTGTTCCCACGTCTGGGAAGGGATTTGGGCTGGAAAGTGGGAAGAGTGTGGGGGGATCTGGGAGGGGGAAATGGGGGGCACGGACCCTCCTGGGCCTGCTCTCATGCCCCCCAAAGGTGGGGAGGAGGAGCTGGGGGTGCTTCCAGTGGCACTGGAGCTCATTCACATGGCCCTGGCAGCTCCCAAATATCTCCCAAGGCCTTTGGAGAGTGGATAAAAATAGCCAGGGATCTGGAAAACATGACAACTCCCCCCAGTCCCCCCCCCCCAAAATGCCTGTGGGGTGCCTGGGGCCAAGCTGGTGTCACAGCTGCTCCCAGGGATCCTGGCACCACTGACCCCCTCTGTCCTGGATGATGTCGAGGGTCCTGGCACTGCTGACCCCTCATGTCCCCCCAGGAGCCCGCACGGGCACCAGCCCCTTCAGAATGGAGGTGTGGGGCCCTCTCCTCCTGTTTTTGGGGTTCAGAGGGTTCTTCCTCACCCAGCCAAAGGATGGAGGTGGAAGGGGGACCTCAGAGGGGCTGTTCTGGTCCCCCCCACCCTCTGCTGTGTCCCACAATACTGGGATATCACTGCAGGTAGTGGGGTACCAGTTTTGGGGTCCCTCCCACTCATCCAACCCTCTACTGCCCGGTGATGAGCAGTGATTTGGGGCTGGGAGACACCGGGGGGGTCCCTAGTGCCCCTGGGACTCTGTCGGGTGGGGGGAGGTCACTGTGTACCCCCCCTGGACCCCTGATGACAGAGTGTGGGGTGCATGGGCTGTGGGTGCAGCCCCTGTGCTGTGGGGTGCAGTCAGTCCCACATGGGTGCAGCACCTGCCACACGGAGCTGTCCCTACCACTCGTGTAGCGATGCTCAGCCCCGTCCCGGGGTGGGACTCCCGGGGGATTCCCATGCGCGGGCGGGCGGGGCCGGGGCCGAGCCCCCTCCCCGGGACAGTCCGGGCTCCTCCCGCGGGCGGCGGAGCGGCGCGGCCGGGGCACGGCGGCGGGATGGAGGGTCCCCGGGACCGCTCCCGGTGGCGGTGCCAGTGGCTGCCCTGGGTCGCCCTGCGGCTGCTCGCGGTCGCCGCCTTCAACCTGGACGGCAGCAGCCCCGTGCTGAAGGACGGCGAGCGGGGCAGCCTCTTCGGGGCCGCCGTGGCGCTGCACCGGCAGCTCAGCCCCGAACCGGCGGGCTGGTGAGTGCAAGGGGCCGGGAGGGCGACCCCCGGGGAGGGGGGAACCGGTGACCCGGGGTGGGGACACCCCACCCCGGGGATGGGGTGGACCATGAGTCCCGGGACTGGGGGGATCTGGTGCTCCGGGACTGGGGGGCTGGAGCAGGACCGGGAGTCCCGGCTCTGGGAGGGACCTGGGCTGGGCGAGCCCGGGAGCCGGGAATGGGAAGGAGCCCCGGGGCTGGAGGAACCGGAGAGTGGGGCTGGGGTCCTCGGGATTCTCGGAGGGTCCGACCCACCCACCCACCCGGACTGCAGCCCCGAGGGGACGGGGACAGGCGCAGAGTCACCGCCTGCGCGGCCAGGGATTATTCAGCATTAACCGGGGACGGGGACTTGGGGGGGTTGTTGGGGGGGTTCGGGGGGCCATCGCTGCATCCCCAGGGTGCTCGGGTGGATGGACCCCCCCGGCTGGGACCCCCAGGCCGTGACCGCGGCCTCCCCCGCGGGCGCTGCGGCGAACGCCCACCCACGGCTGCCGAGACCCCCGTCACGGCCCCGTGTCCCCTGTCCCCGCGTCCCGTGTCCCCGTGTTCCACAGCCCGTAGGACTCCCCATGTCCCCTTGGCAGCCCCCGGGATCCTGCCGGGGGTCTCAGCACCGGAGAGCCCCTGAGCGGGCAGGTCTCTGGGTAGTGTCACCGTCGTGTGCCCCCCTCTTGCCCCCCTTTCCCGACCGTCCCCGTGCCCCCGTTGGCGCCGTTGTCGCCGTTGTCACCCGACTCCCTCACGCTCCACGTTCTTGGCGCCGAGGGCGGTTTTTGGCTCCCGGTGGCCGCTGCGGGTGTTTGCGGAGCCGCGCTGGGCTCGGTCCCACCGGCCCCTCACCCGCAGCCCCCACCCATCCCCCGGTGCTCCCCGGTCCTCTCTCAGGATGCCCTGGCCCGGCTCCGGGGGGCACCCGGTGCCTCCCTGTGCCTCCCTCCTTTTTTGGGCATGTTGCTGCGGGGTTATTTTGAGTGAATTCCAGTTTATTTTTACCGACTCTGCCTCTCTGCCACCCCCCGGGGCTCGGCCGTGTCCCCAGGCCACCAACCCCCCCGGGGCAGACGGGCCGGGGGTGGCTGCAGGTGCCCTGCGGCCACCGAGGAGCCCCGGGTGGCACCGGACTTGTCCTGCGGAGTGTGACCATTCGGGGACCCCGGGGTGGTGGTCTGGGTGGGGGTCAGGGTGCCCCCAACGCTGTTGTCTCAGGGGGCAGTCGGGGAGTGCGGGGGGGTCCGGATGTGCGACCCCCTACCCCCACCCGTGCACTGAGCTGCGGCCGAGGTCTGGGAATGGTGCTGGGGCAGCAGCTGCTCGGCCGGGCTGGCATAACCCGGGCACTGGGACATCGGTGTGGGCGTGTGACGGCTCCGGGGGGTCCCCGGTGGGGCTCTGGGCAACTGACGGGGGTCCATGCCCTGCCAGGCTGCTGGTGGGGGCCCCCCAGGCGCAGGCGCTGCCCAGCCAAGGTGCCAACCGGACCGGGGGGCTCTTCGCCTGCCCACTGACCCCCGAGCTCTCCGACTGCTGGCGGGTGCCCATCGATGAGGGAGGTGAGCTATGCTCCCCGGGGAAGGTGCAGGGGGTCCCGTGAGAGGCTTCCGGTGGGGCTGACCCTCCCCCCTGTGCCCACAGTGGACCCGCAGCGGGAGAGCAAAGAGAACCAGTGGCTGGGGGTGAGCGTGAAGAGCCAAGGAGCCGGAGGGAAGATCGTGGTGAGTGCCGGGGTTGGAGGCAGGGGGCACTGGCAGCTCTGGGGGAGGGGGCTCGGCACCCCGTGACCCCTCTGGGTGCCCCCAGACCTGCGCCCATCGGTACGAGGTGCGGCACCGGGTGCGACAGCCGCTGGAGACGCGGGACGTGATCGGGAGGTGCTTCGTGCTGAGTCAGGACCTGCGGGTGCGGGACGAGATGGACGGCGGCGAATGGAAGTTCTGCGAGGGTCGGCCTCAGGGCCATGAGCGCTTCGGCACCTGTCAACAGGGCCTGGCGGCCGCGTTCAGCCCCGACCGCCGCTACGTCCTGCTCGGGGCCCCCGGCACCTACAACTGGAAGGGTGAGGGGGGTCGGGAACCCCCCGTAGGGGCGAGGGGCTGCCCAGGAGAGGGGGATGTGGGATGTGGGTGGGTATTCCTGCTCAGAGCCCCGGGCATGTACAACTGGAAGGGTGAGAGGGCAACCCGGATGCCCCCCCAGGGGATGAGGGGCTGCGTGTGTGAGAGTGTGTGGGGGCTCTGGGTAGATGTGGGGTGTGAGTGCAACATCTGCCTGGGCAGGTGGGCTGGGTGTGCACATATGTATGCAGATGACCCTGCGCATGGAGCAGCTCAACCAGAGCCCCCTGGAGCAGAAGTGTCCCCGTGCTGTCCCCGAGGGTCCCCCCTGCCCCTCTCACCCCCGGCCCCCGCAGGGACCCTGCGTGTGGAGCAGCTCAACCAGAGCTCTCTGGACCTGCTGCGCCCGGACGCCGGTCCCTTTGAAGCGGGGGGGGAGAAGGACCAGGACCCCTCGCTCATCCCCGTGCCCGCCAACAGCTACTTCGGTACGGGGGGGCCCGGCCCGGGGGTCCCCTCCGGCTGCCGCGGCCCCCGCACCCCCCGCGTGCCCGCCCTGACACCCCCGCCCCCCCAGGGCTGCTCTTTGTGACAAACATTGAGAGCGCCGCCCCCGACCAGAGGGTCTTCCGGACCCCCCAGCCCGGCGAGAGGGTCCCCGGCGCCGCCCCCGACGTGGCCCACAATAGCTACATGGGTTCGTGTGTGCCACGGCTGTGCCACGCGTGTGCCATGTGTGTGCCATATGTGTGCCGTGTATGCCCTCCCTGCAGCGTGTCCTGTGCTGTGTCACCCATGTCACCCGTGGGGACAGACCCAGGCTCTGGGGGGCCCTGTGGGAGCACATGTGCACACACATGTCACCCTGCACATACATGTCCCCTTTCTCATATGTCCCCGTGCACACGTGTCATTCTGGATATGTGTCCCCCCCAAACACACACACATCCCCCCAGCACACACTTGTCCCCAGTCCTGGGGATTACCCCCTTCCCCCCTCACATCCATGTCCCCATACACGCCTCTCTCTCTCTCTCTCTGCACACACCCCACCCCCCCGCACCCTCCTGCACATGCAGCCGTGCACATGTGGCCACAGCCCCCCCGCACACCCCCACTCCTCCCGTGTCCATCCCCTCAGACCTCCCATCTCTGTCCCCTCCCATTCCTTGTCCCTCCAGCCCTGTCCCCTCAATCCCAGTGTCCACAATCCCTGTCCCCCCATTCCTGTCCCCCCGACCCGCGTCCTGTGTCCCATCACTGTGTCTGGGCTGTGTTGGGGTCACTGCCAGGCTGGGGGAGGGTGGTCAGAGCCCGGGGGACGGATCCCTGAGCCTGGTGTGTCCACCCAGCACCCCCCGTCCTCCTGCTTGTCCCCCCGGAGATGTTTCTGCATGGGGAGGGTGCACTGTTTGCAGGGAGGGAGCCTGGTTGGGGGCTCGAGGGGGCTGTTGGGGGGCTCAGGTGGCCGTGGGGGCTGCGGGGGCTGCACTCTGCAATAGCTGCATGTGGGGAAGGGGCTCTCCCCGCTCTCTCAGCCCAAAATCTGCTGCTCTGGTCCCAAAATCTGCCCTTTTCTACCCCAAACATTCCCTTCTGGCAATGCCGGGGGGCTGCTCCTCCCTCCCCCCTACCCCCAACAGGCTCCGCCCCCCCATCCGAGCTGGGGGAGACCCCAGATCTTGCCCTCCCCAGGCAGGAAGAGCAGGGACACTGAGGTACATGGGCCCCCCATTCCCACCAGAGGAATCCCCCCATTCCCAGGAGCAAAATCCTCCCATTCCCCCCATTTCCATCAGAGGAATCCCCCCACTCACCCCGTTCCCATGAGGGGAATCCCCCCATCCCCCTCCATTCTCACGAGGGGAATTCCCCCATTCCCACGGGGGTCCCAGACGGGTCGAGCAGAGAGGGGATGGGACAGACAGACGGACGGGCCGCGGGGGCGTTCCAGGATCCGAGTGGGCACCAACCCTCTCCCCCCTCCCGAAGGGTTCTCCGTGGACTCGGGCGCGGGGCTGACGCGCCGCGGGGGGCTGAGCTTTGTCACCGGCGCCCCCCGCGCCAACCACACCGGGGCTGTGGTGATCCTGCGTCGCGACAGCGCCAACCGCCTGGTGCCCGAGGCGGTGCTGCCCGGGCCGCAGCTCAGCTCAGCCTTCGGGCACGCCCTGGCCGTGCTCGACCTCAACAGCGACGGGTGAGCGCGGGGGGACCCCCCCTGAGATTCCCCCCCGGACAGAGTCCAACCCGGGATCCTCTGTTCCCCAAGACCTCCCGTCCCCCCATCCCTAAGTGCCCCTAGGCTGAGGACCCTGCCCATTCCCAAGGACCCCTCAATCCCTGGGATTCCCCACCCCCGGGACCCCCATCCCTAAGCATCCCCTCCGATCCCCAAGGACCCCTCAATCGCTGAAACCCCAAAAAATCCCAGTGCCGTGTCTGGGGGCACCGGGACACTTTGGGGGGCTCAGGGGGCATGACAGACCCATGTTCCCTCAGGTGGATGGACCTGGTGGTGGGAGCCCCCCACTTCTTCGAGCGCCAGGAGGAGATCGGGGGGGCTGTTTATGTTTACATCAATCCCGGGGGGCTCTGGGACAATGTGACCCCCCTGCGGCTCAACGGCACCCGGGGGTCCATGTTCGGCACCGCCCTGAGCGCAGCCGGGGACCTCAACCACGATGGGTTTGAGGGTGAGGGGCTTTGGGGGGGATTTAAGGGGCATTTGGGGTCCACAAGGGCCCCAACTATGACAGATTTGAGGGTTTGGGGATTGGGGGGGTTGGGGTCTCCAAGGGCTGGGGATGATGGCACTGGAGACCTCAACCATGATGGAGTTGAGGGTGAGGGGAGGGTTCAGTGGGGCTCTGGGGTCCTGCCAAGGCAGGGGGATAGTGGCACTGGGGGCTGCCCCCCGCAAGGGTCCCCACAGGGCCCTGCACCCCCCTCCCCAGCTGCCATTGCCCCTCCAGACCTGGCGGTGGGAGCCCCTTTCGACGGCGCCGGCAAAGTGTTCATTTACCACGGCAGCGCCCTGGGCATCGCAGCCAGGCCGGCCCAGGTGAGGGGGGACGGTGGGGAGGGGGCTGCCCTGGGCAGGGCCCCCCTTGGGGTCCCCTGTCACCCACTGGTGTCCCCAGGTCCTGGACGGGGAGGCCGTGGGGGTCCCAACCTTCGGGTATTCCCTGTCGGGGGGGCTGGACGTGGACGGGAACCTGTACCCTGATCTGCTGGTGGGGTCCCTGTCCGACACCGTGGTGCTCTACAGGTGAGACCCTGCCCTGGGACCACCCCGGGAGCCCCTGGCCCTGAGGAACCCTGAGGCTGAGCATCCCCCCTATCCCCGAGGACCCCCCATTCCTGAGGACCCCCATCCTTTGGAGTTCCCCATCCCCGAGGACCCCCGTTCCCAAGTATCCTCCAGCCCTGCACTGCCCCCATCCCCAAAGACCCCCCCCAGTCCCAAGGATTGGATCCCCAAGGACGCCCCACATACCTGGGCATCCCCCCTCCCTGAGGACCCTCCATCCCTGAGGACCCCCCCGTCCCAGGACCCCCTCAATCTCTCTCAGAGCATCCCCTGCCCTGGGGTCCCTGCAGAGCTCAGGGTGCCCTCAGGAGGGGGGTGCGCACTCTGGCACCCCCTGTTTGCCCCCGGCAGGGCCCGCCCGGTGGTCCATGTGTCGCGGAACGTGTCCCTGCTGCCCCCCACCATCGACCTGGAGCAGAGCAACTGCCACCACCGGGAGGGCATCTGGTGGGTGCCCCCGAGCCCCCTGGCACCCCCACCCTGGGCATGGGCCCAGAGGGTCACTATCCCTTTCCCCCTGTCTGACCCCATGTTCCCCCTAGCGTGGAGGTCCGAGCCTGTTTCAGCTACACGGCCAGTCCTGCGACCTACAGCCCCCGCCTCGGTGAGACCGCCCCCAGGAGGGACCCCCAGCCCCGGGAACATCTCAACCCTGAGTACCCCCAGCCCCATGGACCCCCCACCCCTGATGCCCCCCTCCCTGTGTCCCCAGAGCTGGAGTTCGTGCTGGACGTGGACACCGAGCGCCGGCGCCGTGGCCAAGCCCCCCGGGGGTTGTTCCTGAGCCGTGGCCCCACGGACCCCGAGCACCAGCTCTCTGGGACCCTGGAGCTGCCCCGGCAGCGCAGCCGGGCCTGCGTCACCCCCACCTTCCAGCTGCACGTGGGTGCTCAGCCTCGGCCTCGCTTCCCTCAGCCTTGGCCTCGGCCGCATCCTCATCCTCAGCATCCCCATCCCTGTTCCCATTCCCAATCTTCATCCTTCTCGTCTCCACTCCTGTCTCCACCTTCATCCTCATCATCCCCATCCTCATCCCCCTCCTCAATCCTACCCCCACGGCCCCCTCCAGCTGTGCCAACACCTCCAGATCCCTGAGTGGCCCCTGACCTTCCTCCCTCTGTCCTCCTCCTCATCTCTGTGTCCCCCCAGGACGGGATCCGGGATAAGCTGCGGCCCATCATTGTCACCTTGGCCTATGGGATCCGGGGGCCTGGGGGACACCGGGGGGCGGGGGGCTGTGCTGCCCCCCCTTTCCCCTGCACTCAGCCCCCATCAACCCAGCACCCACCGCACTGAGGTGGGCACTGCCAGGGACCACCGGCCTGGGGGCCTGTTCCACCCAGGGGTACCTGGGGTGTCACCCCTGTCCCTGGGGTTGCCCCATCCCCCCTGAAGCCCCCCTGAGTGCCCCCCCCATGCCTCCCCAGGTGCATTTCCTGCGCCAGGGCTGCGGGGATGACAAGATCTGCCAGAGCAACCTCCAGCTGCGCTTCCAGTTCTGCACCCGCCGTGGCGACAGCGAATTCCTGCCCCTGCCCAGGTTGGGGGGCTGGGGGGCAGTGCCCACCCTGGGGGGGGATGGAGGGTGCGGGGGCATGTGGGTGTGGGACATGGATGGTCCTGGGGGTGTGGGATGGTCCCAGAGGTGTGGGACAGTGGCTGTGCCCTGCAGGGCCGATGATGGCACTGCCATCTTCGCCATGAGTGACCAGAAGGACGTGGCCCTGGAGGTCCTGGTGACTAACGAGCCGTCTGACCCGGCGGAGCCGCAGCGGGACGGGGACGACGCCCACCAGGCCCAGCTCACGGCCACCCTCCCCCCAGAGCTGCCCTACGCGGCCGTGCGGCCCGATGAGGGCGGGGGGCTTGGGGTGAGAGGATGTGGGGTGGGGAGGGGGGTGGGGGTGCAGTGGGACAGGGGTGCCCGCAAGGGGAGTCTCAGTCCTGTGTCCCCCAGGACAAGCCCGTGCTGTGCCTCGCCAACCAGAACGGCTCCCAGGTGGAGTGTGAGCTGGGGAACCCCCTGAAACGTGGAGCACAGGTGGGCGCAGCCCTCTCCCCAGTCCCTCGCCCCCCCTGCCCCCCAGCCCGGTTCCAGCGCTCCCCTCTTGTGCCCCCCCTGTGCCCCAGGTGCGGTTCTTCCTCATCCTCAGCACCTCGGGAATAACCATCCACACCTCGGACCTGGCAGTGGAGCTCGCGCTTTCCACGTGAGCGGTGGGGGGAGAGGGGGGTGGAGACCCCCGGGGTTGAGGGTCGAGACCCCTGTGGGGGCTGTGCTGGAGCCCTGGGGGATTTGGAGACCAGAGATCTGGGGTGTCTGGGGGCTGGAGAACCCAGGGATTTAGGGGATGCAGGCCCCAGGATTTGGGGTGAAGCCCTGGGGGGTTTGGGGGTTGGATCCTGGGGTTGAGGGGGTTCAGCCCCACATGCTGGGCTCTGGGCACAGCACGGGGAGAGTTTGGGTGCTGCCTCCTCTGAACCCCCTCCCCCTCCCCAGGATCAGCGAACAGCCAGGGCTGGAGCCAGTGGTCGCTCGTGCCCGGGTGGTCCTTGAGCTGCCCCTCTCCGTGACGGGGTGAGTGGGGGTCGGGCCCACCCCAGAACCCCCCCCGGACCCTCTCTGGGACCCCCCTGACCACCGTCTGTGTCCCCCAGAGTGGCCGTGCCCCCCCGGCTGTTTTTCGGGGGGGAGGTGCGGGGGGAGAGCGCGGTGCGCAGGGAGAGCCAGGTGGGCAGCGCTGTCAGCTTCAAGGTCACGGTGAGTCCCCCCCCGGGACCCCCGTGGGAGAGGTGGGAGTGGGGTGGGGGGTGTTTGTGGGCTGGGGGGATTCATGCAGGGGCATTTATGAGGTGGGGGGTGTTTTGGAGTCTGGGGGGTCCATGTGAGTGGCATTGACAGGGTGAGGGGTGTTTGTGGCATGGGTGGCACTCATGGGGTCGGGGTCTCGTGCCTCCTCCAGGTGTCCCACAGGGGACAGGCGCCAAAGACTCTGGGCTCTGCCTTCCTCACCCTGCACTGGCCCCTTGAGCTGCCCAACGGGAAGTGGCTCCTGTACCCCCTGAGCCTGGAACTGGGCACACCCCCCGTGCCCTGCAGCCCCTCTGCCAACCCCCTGCGCCTCACCCTGGTACAGCCACGGGGGCTGGGGAGGGCTGCGGGGTTTGGGGTCACCTGGGGGGTGCCTGTATGTCTGTGGGGGTGCCCAAGGGGGTGCCCAGGAGTAGCCAAGGGGTGCTCAGCAGTGCCCAGGGGTGCCTGGGGGGTGTCCAGAGGTGTATGGGGGTTGTCTGGGAGTACCCAGGTATGTCTGAGGGTCCCTGCTGCCCCCGCTCTTACTCCCCCCCAGGAACCTCTGGGACAAGGTGACCCCCCCCAGGTGCCCCCACCGCGGTCCTGGTGGGTCCCAGCGCCCTCAGAGAGGAGGAGGAACGTGACACTGGTGAGTGGGGGGACACTTGCTTTCGGGGGCCCTGCTCAGGGGGAGTCCTGCTTTCGGTGGGCCTGTTCAAGGGGGGGTACTCTGGGGATGCCCCTCCTGGAGTGCCCCTATCCCAGTATGCAGTCCTGGGATCCCCCCACCCTGGGGTACCCGCATTCCTGGGGCCCCCTGGATTCCTGGAGTCCTGTTTCAGGCTGCAGTGTGACACCCCCCCTTCCCCCATTCCTGAGGTCTTCCCCCCATTCCTGATGTCCCGTCCTGGGGTGTCCCCTCCATCCCCCCAGGACTGTGCCCGGGGCACCGCCCGCTGCCGCCTGTTCCGGTGCCCGCTGCCCACCCTGGAGCGCTCAGAGCTGCGGGCACGGGGCCGCCTCTGGAATGGCACCTTCCTGGAGGTACTGGGGCCGCAGGGGGGGTGGGGGGTGGGGATTGGCGAGAAGGGGGCTCAGCTCGGCTTGGTCTACCCCTGTTTCCCCCAGGAATTCCTGGATGTCTCCTCGCTGGAGCTGATTGTTCGTGCCGAGGTTTCCATCACCTCCCCCAGCAAGAACCTGGTGCTCAAGGATGCGGCCACGCAGGTCTGACTCCTGCCCCGATCCCCCTTCGAGTCCCCCGACTCCCTCAGACTCCTCTGACCCTCCCTACCCCCCAGATGTCGGTGTCCATCCACCTGGACCCAGGGGTGGCGGTGGCGGGGATCCCATGGTGGGTTGTCCCACTGGCGGTGCTGGTTGGGATTCTCGTCCTGGCCCTGCTGGTCCTCGGGCTCTGGAAGGTGAGGAACGGACCCCTCCAACCCCCCTGACCCCCGGTGACCCACCCCCCGTCCCCTGACCTGTCCCCCAATGGCCCAGGTGGGGTTTTTCCGCCGTGCCCGCCGTGCCCCCCCCGCGGTGCCCCAGTACCATGCTGTGCGGATCCCGCGGGAGCAGCGGCGGCACCTCCTCGAGGGCAGAACGGGCACGATCCAGAGGCAGGAATGGGCCGCCAGCCCCGCCGAGCCCCTGGACGGACGCAGGACCCCCAGCTCTGCATAGACCCCCCGCTGTGAAATGGGGGGTGGGCACGGGGGGCACAGACACAGGGTAGGGCATATGGAACATGGGATGTGGGACACGGACATGGGATACGGGATGTGGGACACAGACACAGACAAGGGATAAGGGACATGGGTACGGGATGTGGGACACAGACACAGACAAGGGATAAGGGACATGGGTACGGGATATGGACACAGGACATTGGACATGGATATGGAACACAGGATGTGGACATGGAACATGGGATATGGACATAGGACACAGACATGGGATATGGGACGTGGAACACAGATTACGGAACACGGGATATGGGACATGGGACATGAAACATGGGACACAGACAGGGGACATGGGACATGGGACATGAGATTGTCTGCCCTGGCTGTGCTCTGGGGATGGTGGCAGGAACAGGGGACACGGACATGGACACAGAGTCTGGGACACGGAACCTGGGATGCGGGCCACGGAATATGGAACACAGGACATGGATTTCCCGCCCTGGCCGTGCCCTGGGAAGGTCCCAGCAAGGCACTGGCTGTGCTGGAGCTCCTGGGAATGTTTGTCATGGGATGGGATCATCGGGCCCACGGGGCATTTTGGCCCTACAGGGTCAGTTTGGTCCCAGGGGTCACTTCAGCCCCACATGGAGGGTTTGGCCTCACACTGGGGTCTCCACCCCTGGGCTCAGCTCGGCCCCACAGCAATGTTCACCTCAATAAAAGGTGCTGTCCCCCCATAGGGCCTGAGTCCTTCACAGCCTGGGGACGGTCATGGCAGGGGGGGGTGAAACTGCCCCTGGTTCATTGGGGGACTGAGGGGAGCCCCTAAAACAGCCCTTAAATTGGCCCCTGAGTTATTGGGGGGGTTGGTGCGAACCCCTAAAACAGCCCCTGGCTCATCAGGGTCTGTAAGAACCCCTAAAAATGGCCTTTAAGTTGGCCCCTAGCTCATTGGGGTGGCTCCTGGCTCAGACACAAGAGCCAGTGGATATTCCAGCAGCCAAACTACATAGGTTTACTAATTAGGTCGAATAAATTTGATCGGATCGATCGGGAAGTTCCAGGACACCGAGACGGGCGGGGCCGCACAACCCCTCTGATGAGTGAGGGCACCCGCCATGATAAGTGGAGGTGGTGGGTGCCGTGAGGCCGTGACGGTAGCCGCCATGATGGGTGCGGGCAGCCGCCATGATAAGTGTGGCTGTGGTGCCACTATGATGGGAATGGCAGCTTCAACCGCCAGAACAAGCTGTGTCTGCCGGGATAAGGGGGCACGTCCCGTTCGCAGCCCCGTGAGTTGGACCCGGCAGCCTCCGGCCTGCCCTCCGGCTCAGAACGCAGGAGGTGCGGCCCTGCCCTTAGTCAAAATGGCGTCACGCCGCAAAGGAAAAGGAGGAACCTTTAACAAAGCGGCGGCCTCCGCGGCTTCAGTGACGTCAGTGGGCTTCCTGAAGGGAAGAGGCCATGGCGGCCCGGGGATGCCGGGGCTGGTGAGGCCTGAGGGGGAGTGGGGGGTCCGGGGAGGTTGGGGAGGTCTGTGAGGGGTTCTGGGGGGTACACGTGGCTGGGGTTGGCGGGAGGGGCATGGGACCCGGGCCGAGTCCCCCCCGGGCGGCGGGTTGTGCCCTATTTCCCCCCGTGGTGTCACCCCGTGTCCTCTCATGGCCCCCACCCCCCAATCTGCCCCCCGCGGTGTGACAGAAACCCCCCACCCCAGGGGTGTGACAGCCCCGGAGGGAGGCACCGGGTGACCCACCCACCTGCTGTGTCCCCTCCAGAGACCCCCAGCAACCCTCCCCGGACACCCCATGGCCACGAGTCGCTCGGAGGACGAGGAGTCCCTGGGAGGGACCAAAGGGGCCCGCCCCCCGGGGACTGTCCCCAAACGCCGCAGCTCCTCCAGGTACGGAGGTACTGGGGGGGGCTGAGGGAATTCTGGTAGGGGTCGGGGTCGCCGAGAATGAGCCACAACGAGGGGCAACTGGAGAGGTCCCCTGGGGACTGTCCCCAGATGCTGCAGGTCCTCCAGGTACGGGGGCCTTTGGGAGTCTTGGGGGGTCTGGGAGGGGTCTGGTGGTCTGAGAGTGAGCCGCAACGAGGGGACACTGGGGGTGATGTGATAGGGGGTGGGGGACGTGGGGGACACGGGGGCCCCAGGCAGGGTGTGGGCACAGGGGGGTCCGGTGCCATGTCTGTGCCCCTCTGTGGCCCCCCGGCAGGTTCATCAAGAGGAAGAAGTTCGACGACGAGCTGGTTGAGAGCAGCCTGGCCAAGTCCTCGAGCCGCGCCAAGGGGGGCCCGGAGCCCCCACCCCGGCCTGGCCCTGACCCCCCCCCGGGGGACAGGAGGAAGGTCAGGGCTGAGTGGGGACTGGGGACAGCACAGGGACATTGGGGACACCCTGAGGCCAATGGGGGAGTCCCAGGGAAGGTGTTCTGGGGGCCATCCTGCGGTCACTGGGGCCATCCAGGTTCATTCAGGAGCTGTTGGGGAGCCCCCAGAGACCCCTGTGCCCCCCCCATGACCCCCAGCCTGGGAACCCCTCCACCTGCAGGGCTATTGGGGACATCTTGGAGTCACTGGGGACATCCTGGCAGCCCAGGGACCCCCAGAGACCCCTCTAAACCCGTATACCCCTCCTACCAGGTGTCGAGGGCGGTGCCCCCCCCTGCGGCCCCGGGGCCCCCCCCTGGTCTGCCCAAGAGGCTCAAGAAGAGCAAACAAAGCCCAGCGGTGCCGCGGGATCTGGGACGGTGGAAACCTGCTGACGACCTGCTGCTCATCAATGCCGTGCTGCAGGTGGGCTGGGGGGCCCAAGGGACCCCCTGCACCTGGGGGGGTTTGGGGAGACCCCCCAGGCCTCCCCCCTGACCTGGGGGTGTTCCCAGACCAACGACCTCACCTCGGTTCACCTGGGAGTGAAGTTCAGCTGCCGCTTCACCCTGAGGGAGATCCAGGAGCGCTGGTACGCGCTACTCTACGACCCCGTCATCTGCAAGTGAGGGGGGACCAGGGGTCCTGGGGGGCTCTAGGGGGTTAGGGGCATATGGGGTGGTCCCTGCTCCCTGAGGGAGATCCAGGAGCGCTGCTCTATGACCCCCTCATCTGCAAGTGCGGGGGGCTCGGGGGTCCTTGGGGGCTTGGGAGGTCTCAGATGTCCCCAGAGGAGCCAGGATGTCCCCAGGGAGTGGTTTCAGGTGTCCCTGGAGGGCATCTCAGCCCTCCCTGGAGGTCTGGGCGGTCCTTGGGGCATCTCACCTGTCCCTGGTGGGGTCTCGTATCTGGGCTGTCCTTGGGCGTCTCTGGGGAGTCTCCCCCACGCTGGGGTTCCCTGGGGGTCTCACCCCCAGGTCCCCTAGACTGGCCTGCCAGGCCATGCGGTCGCTGCACCCCGAGGCTGTGGCTGCCGTGCAGAGCAAGGTCCTGTTCAGCAAAGCTGAGGAGCAGCTGCTCACCAGGGTCCCCTCGGTGAGTGGCCCCAAATGTGTCCCCAAATGTCTCCTGACTCCCTCAGCTGCTCATCAGGGGGGGATTGGTGACAGTGGGGGGTTCCCAACTGTCCCTTTGTGGCCCTTCCTATTGTGTCCCCTCATGTCCCTCCCTGTCCCCTTGGGTTTCCACGTCTCCCCTCTTGTCCCAAAGTGTCCTCCCATGCCCCCCTCATATTCTCTGTCCCTTCCAGACTCCCCAGCCATCCCTGGAGACCTTCCAGGACCTGCTGCTCCGACACCCCGAGGTGTTTTACCCTTCAAGGACCCCCAAGGCCCTGCAGCTGCACTGGCAGCTTCTGCGCCAGTACCACCTGCTGCAGGACCAGACAGGTGAGGGGGGCCTGGGAGGGCTTGAGGGGTCCTGGGAGGTACCTCAGGGTTCACCAGCCCCTCACCCCCACTTCTCACCCCCCAGTGCAACCCCTGCCCAAGGGGGACCAAGTGCTGAACTTCTCGGATGCCGAGGAGATGGTGGATGATGGGAAGCTCAGGTAGGGGGGCTTGGGGATGTTTTGGGGGGTTTTGGGGAAGCAGGGGGAGATAGGAGGTCAAGGGAGGGGCTGGGAGATGAAAGGAAGGGTTTTTTGTAGGGCGAGGGAGGACCAGGGAGCTCCAGTGAAGTTTGGGGGGGCTCAAGGGAGAGTTTGGGGGGACTGGGGGATAAAGGGAAGGTTTGGGGTTTGGGAGGCACAGGGAGCTCAAGGGAGGGTTTGGGAGGACTGAGGGAGGGTCAAGTGGGCTGAGGGCTGTTTGGGGGGGCTGGGAGGCAGACAGGTCACCCCGTGGGGGGTTCAGGGTGTCCCAGGGAGCCCCAATGATATTTTTGGGGGGTCTGGAGTCCCAGGGGACATCTCACCATCCCACCCCCCCTTCTCCTGCGCAGGGACGTGCGGGACGAGGTGTTGGAGCATGGTGAGTGACTCCCACCCTCCTGAGCCCTCCTAAACCCCCAGGATCCCTGGGGGAGGGGTCAGGTAGCCCCTGGCCCCCCAGGACCCCCTTTGCCGCCTCTCCAGAGCTGACCGTGGCAGATCGGCGGCAGAAACGGGAGATCCGGCAGCTGGAGCAGGAGCTGCACAAGTGGCAGGTCCTGGTGGATTCCATCACAGGTGGGGTGCCCCAACTGTCCCCCCGTGTCCCTCTGTCCCCCACCGTGTCCCTCTTTCCCCCCCCATGTCCCTGTGTGTCCCTGATGTCCCTTTGTCCCCCCATGTCTCTGCGTCATGCTGACTTCCAGTGTCCCTCTGTTCCTCCCTCCTGTGTCTGTGTGTCCCTCCCTGACCCCCTGTCCCCCCATTTCAGGGATGAGCTCCCCAGATTTCGACAGCCAGACCCTGGCAGTGCTGCGGGGGCGGATGGTGAGGTACCTGATGCGCTCCCGGGAGGTAAAACACCCCTAAACGACTCCCAGTACCTCATGCACTCCCAGGAGGTGGATCTGGAGCTGTGACACCCCAAAATATCCCCACCCCCTCAACCCCCCCAGATCACCCTGGGCAGGGCCACCAAGGACAACCAGATTGACGTGGACCTGGCACTGGAGGGCCCGGCCTGGAAGATCTCCCGCAAACAAGGTGGGGCTGGGGGGGCTTTAGGGGTGAGGGCACCCCTTTCCTAACTGGGTTTACCTGCCAGGTGTTCCCAAGCCCAAACTCCCCACCCCCCAAACCTGGGACCCCTCACAAGGGGGAGGTTCCTCTGCTCAGGCTTTGGGACCTCTGGACCCCCCCAACCCTGGGGTCCTCCTCCAACCCCAAGGATCCTCTCAGGATTGGGGACCCCCTTGACAGAACCCCCCCCAAGAGAGCCCCTTCCCCCATTCTCCCTTCTTTGGGGGCCATTCCTGGCCCCCTCCTGCCCCCACACCCCCTTTCCCCTGGATCTTCTTGAATCCCCTGAATCCCTGGAATCCCCCCCAGGAGTGATCAAGCTGAAGAACAACGGAGATTTCTTCATCGCCAACGAGGGCCGGCGCCCCATTTACATCGATGGCCGCCCTGTCCTAGGGGGCAACAAGTGGAAGCTCAACAACAACTCTGTGGTCGAGGTGGGGCAGGGTGTTCCCAAGGGGTCCCGGAGGGTCCCAGGGGATCCCGGGGGTCCCACTAAGCCCCCCTTTGTCTCCCCAGATTGCCAGCCTGCGCTTCGTCTTCCTTATCAACCAGGATCTCATTGCCCTCATCAAGGCCGAGGCAGCCAAGCTGGCCCAGCAGTGAGGGGGGTGAGGGGGCTTGGGGTCCCCAGGGGTCCAAATTTGGCAGTGGGTGGGGTTGGGACTCCCCTGTGTCCCCCCTCATCCCAAACTGCTTCCAATAAAGTCGTCGATACCCCTGGGGAGGGGCCGCTTGAGGCAACCCAGGAGCTAACTGGAACACCCCCCCCCAAAGATATTGGGGTCCCCTCCCACTTTACCTGACCCAGGTGAGTTGGGGGGACACACAGACACCCCTCCAAACCCCTATCCCTGAATTCCTCTCCTCTCCCAAAAAAACACCATTTTTAAAGTTCAACAGTTCATTGAATTAATTTGTTCTGAAGTTTTAATTAATTAAAGAAAAAAAACAAAAAATCAAACTTGGAAAAAAAAAAACATGGAAAAAGTGTGTGTGTGGGGGGAGCAAAGTTGGGGACCCCTCCCAGCCCTCCCCCATGTGGATTTACTGTCCCTGTTCCCAGGAATGTCTGGGATTTGCTCCTGGGTGTTGCTGTGGTGGGGATTTGAGGGGGGGGGGGCAGGAACTGGCATGGGAATGAAGGAAATTCCCTAAAGAAAATCTAGGGAAAAACCCCAAATGTGCAGCTGAGGGAACCCCCCCCCGAATCCCAACGGACACAGAGAGGACTCCCCTAGTCACAGAGGGGACACCTCAGATCCCACAGGGAACATTCCAGAGCCTGGAGGGACATGGAGAGAAATCCAAATCACAGAGGGAACCCCCCCAGATCCCAAGGGGAACATTCCAGATCCTGGGGGGACACCTCAGATCCCCGAGGGTCTGGGGACATCCCAGATCTGGGGGAGACAGAGGGGACTCCCCAGTTCCCAGAGGAGAACATTCCAGATCCTGGGGGGGGGTCAGAGCCCCCTCCTCCTTCCCCACTCCTCCTCGCTTCCAGCGCGAGGGATTTTTGAGATGGAGAGGAAGGAAAAAGGGAGGTGGAAGGGACGATGGCAGCACTGGGGTGTCCTGGACCCCCAAATCCCAGTGGGACAACACGGAACAGACCAGGAGGGGGGAGAGAAAGGGGGAAAAATGGCACAGAACGGGAATTGTAAACGTGGCTGGGACCCCCCCCCCGGCGGGATCCTGGAGTTTTCCTCAGGAATTCGCTCTCTCAGTACGGCTCCTTCGGGGTCTCCGTGGGGGGAGCCCCCCTCGGGGGGCTGAGGGGGCCCGGGGTTGGGGGCTCGCGGGGGCCAGGCTGGGTCCCGCTGTTGGGGGGCCCAGGGGGGCCGTTGTGCCGCGGGGTCGGGGCTCGGGGTCCTGCTCCCACCCTCCGGATCCGCTGGGAAGGCTGGGAATGGAGGGGGAGGTAAGAACAGGGACCCACCCCCAAAACTCCCTCTCCTGGACCCCCAAATCCCGCTCTGGGAACACCCAAATCCTGGACCCCCCTAAAACAGCCCCCTCCCCTGAACCGCAAATCCATGGGGTCAATCTATCCAGGGAACCCTCCAGACCCTCCCCGGACAGGGGGTGGGATCCCCAGAACCCCCCATACCCTCTCCAGACCCACCTCTTGGGGGGGCCGGGGCCGGCCCTCCGCTGTGTCCCCCAGAGCCCCCTCCATGGGTCCCAGGGGTTTTCCGGCCGTGCTGGGGGTGGGGGAGGCACTAGGGAGGCCCAGGGGGGCCCCAGGGGGGCCGGAGCTGCAGCGGGAGCGGCTGGAATAGCTGGTCTTGGGGTGGGACACTGGAACAGAGACAGCAGGGGAGGGGTCAGAGGGGCTGGGTTCACTGGGACACTGGACAGGATACTCTGGGGAGCAGATGGAGGGACTCAGGTGAGTGAGCCCAGCACGGGGGTCCCAGGAGCCCCCAGCCCCACCTTGGCCGAAGCAGGTGATGCTCCTCTTGAGCCCCTCCAAGTCGCAGGTGAACCTGCCAGCCCTGGCCAGCTCCTCGTCGTACTTGCGCTCGCTCACAAAGTGCTGCAAAAGCAGGGAAAAAGGGGGGGATTTGGGCTGGGAATGGGAACAGGAAGATCCTCCTGGTTCTGTTCTGGACAGGGGAGACTCTCCTGGTTCAGCCCAGGACAAGAGGGGTTTCAGGGAATTTAGGGAAGGCAGAACTTTCCCCAGGTGCTGGGATGAAATCAGGATTCTACAAAACCATTTTAAATTCTGTTTGGAATCCAAAGGTGTTTGGAATCCAAGGTGCCCCCCCAGGGCCCACCTTGATGTCAGCCCTGAGCTCCAGCAGCTGCTCCTCCGACATCCGCGCAGCCCCTTCCGTGAGTTTCCGCAAGGCCTCTGCCCTCCTCTGCCTCCCCACCAGGATCTCCACTGGAAAACAGCCCTGGATCAGGGAAAAACCACCCCTCTGACCCCCCAGGCCCTCCCTGGGGTAATTCCAGCTCCAAACAGGCACCAAACCAGAGGTGGAAGCTCTAGGAGGGACGCTGGGAGCAGCTCTGTCCCTTTGCCACCTCTGAAATTTGGGTCTTTTCCATAAGATTTGTCCCATATACTGTTGGGGAAATCCCGCCATCCCCCATATCTTGAGAGGTGAGATGTAGGATAAACCCTGAAGGGAATTTCATGGAATTTTCTGGAATGGTTTAGGTTGGGAGGGACCCTAAAAGTGAGCAGAAAAGCTGTTTCCATCCTCAGGACTCTCAGGATTTCAGGAATTTCCACCCTCTGGGGAGGCGTGATGGTCTTGAGGTGTTTGGGAATGATGGAAACAGGAGGGAAATCCTGGAAAACCCCTCCAGGAACAGTCCCTTACTTGCTTCTGCCTTCACTTTGTCCATCTCGGCCAGCAAAGCCACCTCTCGGTCCATGAGGCTGTGGAAAACAGGGAAAAGATTTAGTGCTGGAGAGGGCAGGGAAAGGCTCCAGGAGGAGGATCCAGCCGGGACACACCAGCAGGTGGAGCTGGAACCGCGGGAAGTGGCTGGAGAGCCCCAGACTGGGCTGGAATGGGAAGGGGAGAGGGGGGACAGGGAGGAACTGGGGAGCAGAAGAAATTGGGGAACAGGAACTGGGACAAGGAAGAGGTGGGAGCAGGAACTGGGAGCAGAGAGCTGGGGGCGAAGTTGGGGGCAGGAGGATGAACTGGAGAGTAGGAACTGTGAGCCCCACAGGGCACCTGGAGCCCCGCAGGGCCCTAACCCTTTGGGACACACAGGGGACACTCAAGGGACTTCAGAGCAGGGCACAACCCCAGAGCCCCTTTAGGCGTCCCAGAGCCCCCTCAGGTCACCCCGAGCCCACCCCGGTGACCTCATATCCCTCAGGTGAGCCGGGGGTTCCTCAGCTGAGGCACAGCCCCCCAGGTAAGGTGCAACCCTCTCAGAGCCCCCGGGATCACCACATCTCTCTGCTCCCACTCCAGAGCCTTTCCCACCCATTCCCTCGGGTGCCAACAAACCCCGAAGGAATCCCAGTCCCCCCAGTCTGGCTCTGTGCAGGAACTGGCTCCCAGACAGACCCCAGCCCCCCTAAGCCCTCTCTGCCCCCATTCCTGGTTCCCACTGCTCCAGGTGAGTCAAGAATTCAAATCCAGCCCTTTAATTGGGCTCATTTCCCTTTTCATTCCTGACTACAAAAGCCCAAACCCTCCTGTCCCTGCTCCCCGCTCAGAGCCACCAGGGGACAGCGGGGTCAGCCCTTCATCCCTCACCTTTTTGAGGGAAAAGCATTGGAAATGGGCAGAATGTTTAATTTAGTCCCTGTCTGAGGCACTGAAATACCAACCCCCCTTCCCTGGGAGGGAGGGGGATCAATCTCCACAATTCCCTGGAACAGCAGCTCTGACATTTGGCTGCTTCTGGTGATTTATGGCTCCCTCCTCCTGCCTTTTTCCAGGGCAGAGAAGGGGCAGTCTTGGGAATGAGGCTTCTCCCTGCTCCCAGGAATTCCCAGAGTGGCCACACCTGGATCTGCAGCACCCATAGGTGCCCCAGTGCCCCCTGGAAAGGGCAGGAATTCCGGGAGCTGGTGGAGGAGGGGGGAATGTGGCCTTATTAATTAATTCCCAGCCATTTCCAGCCTTAATTAATTAATTCCCAGCCATTTCAGGCCATTCCCAGAGTGTTCGCACCTGGATCTTCCCCTCCCACAGGTTCCCTTTCCCTCCTGCCCATCTCTGTGTGGGCATCTGGAATTCCCGGAACTGGAGAAGGGTGGGAATGTGGGTTAATTAAATATTCCTTAACTAATGATTAATTAAGACGCAGGAACAGTCTCACGGCCTCATCCTGTTCCCAGGATTATTCCTTGTTAGCCAGGAATAAAAACCAGGATTAATCCCAGTTAACCGAGGGAAGGATGTTTTCCAGACCTGGGAGAAGGTTTTTACACGTGGAATTTGTGTGGAGAGGTTAAAAAAACCCTTAAACCCTCCCTCTAATAATACAGAATTTTGATAATAATACAGGCAATATTTTACAATATAGATAATAACACAGTACAGATAATTATAAGATATTATCAAAAGTATAATATATTCTGTGTATTATATATAATAATGTATGTCAATATATATAATTATATAATATAGACTACATAGCTGGAAAAAGACTCAAATTCCCTCTGGAAATTCTCCAGGATCAGCCCAGAGACCCCAAAACCCCCTGGGCACCTTCAACCCCAACCCTCAGGGAAGTTCCAGACTCATTTATTCCCATTTTTGAATGATTTTCAGCTGATTTTAAGTCTGGAAAAAAACCCAAACACTTCCTTCAGGGAAGCACTTCCCGATGGGAATGCTGCAGGAGCACAAGGACAAGGCCACAATGAGCAGCCAAAACTGGCTAAAAGGCTTTAAATTCTTGGTTTTAATAATTTAAAACTGTCAGGTTTTTGACACAAACAGTTTTGACACCAAGAGCTGCTGAAATCCTGGGATGTGGGAGCAGGATTTCAGCTCCTTGTCAACCCAAGGCAGGGTTTTATGGATATTTTCTTGTTTAATGCATATTTTCTTCCCCCAAACCCAATATTTGTGCAGTTTCTCAGGGCTGGGTTCAATCAGCTGCTCCAAACATCAAACCCAGCCCCAATTAAACCCCAGCACTAATTACACAGAGGGGGCACAGTTTAAGCCTGGATTAAAATGCAGAAACAAGGCTTTCCATGTGTTTTTAGACCTCCCTGGTGACATCACAGTCAAGCCTAATTCAAGGGTTTGGAATGGGAATGTTTGTTCCTCAAGGACAGGCAGGAACAGGCCACAAACTCCCAAAACTTCTCCTTCCACATCCCAAAATTTCTTCTTCCAGCTCAGCTCAGAGGGCAAGCCAAGACACAGACCTGGTTGGTTTGTCATGAATTCATGGAATGTTTTGGCTGGGAAGGACGTTCAAGCCCATCCGGTTCCATAGGCAGCAATACCTCCCACCATCCTGGGACTCTCCCAGCGGGTGGTGTAGCCAAAACCCCCCGGGACAACCAAATCCAGCCATCCCAGGAGCAGGATCCACACTCAGATTCCCACCCACCTGCTCTGGAGCTCAGCAAAGACCTGCTTCATCTTCCTGATGGACGTGTCCATCTCCTCCTTGAGCAGGGCCCGGTAGCGCGCCAGGGACACGGAGCAGCGCTGCAGGTCCTTCACCGACTTCTCAATGTTCGACCCTGCAACGGGAGGGAATGGGCAGTTCCAGCCCTGCATCCTTCCCGCTGGCATGGGAAGGGGTGTTCCAAAAATATAGCGGGGATTAAACGCAACCCTGAGCTGGATTTAGGCTGGAGATGACCAAAGCCCAGGCTGCTGCAAAGCCCAGCACAAGGGAGACCAACTGTTTGTCTGAGGAAGGGAACTTCAAGGAATTATGGAACAGTTTGGGACCTCGGAACAGGAGGGACCTTGAAGCTCATCCAGTTCCACCTCCACTGGGACATCTCCCACTATCCCAGGTGGCTCCAGCCTGGCCTGGGACACTGCCAGGGATGGGAAATCCATGATTTCTCTGGGATTGAATGTCTGGATTCTCCAAGGGATGAAAAGCCTCCACCAGGAGGTGACAGGACCCGTTGTTTCAGGTCCTGGGGGCAGAGTTTGGCTCCTGCCAAGTGAAATTATGGCTCTTGTTCCACCATTCCCTGAACTCCGCCTCCGATCCCCCCTGGCACAACCTCCCCGGTCACCGGGGGGTCTCCAGGTCCCTCCTGTCCCTCCCTGTTATTGTCACATCCCAGATTTGGACAAAACACCCCAAAAAGGGGAGGGGAACCCCCTCCAGGACTGTCACTTGTTGTCACTCGTTGTCACAGCCCCAGCCTGACCCTTCACAGGTTCTCAGGAACAGCCCCGGGATGTGATAGGATGTGGGGGGGAAGGGATGAGCTCTCCCTGCTTCAGAGAAAGTGCTGGAATTTCTGCTGTGCTGGGTGGAGGAGGAGGAAGAACCTGGACTATGGGAGGTGCCCCTGTCCAGGGCAGGGGTTCGTACTGGATCATCTTTAATGCCCCTCCCAACCCAGACCATACCATGAATCCATAGGTTTATGGTTTTCCCTCAATTATCCAAGGCTTGAGCAGCTTTTCCTGTATTTTTATGGTTATCTGACATATTTTACAGATTGATGAGTTCCCCTCCCAGTCTGGCCTAACCAAGCCCAGCTCCCAAGGCCTCTCCTCCTCCAGGAGCTGCTCCAAACCCTATGACACCTCCACATTCCCAAGGTTTTGTGTCCTTACCCATTTTCCTGCCAGGGGGTGACACCGGAGCCTCTTCCCGGGACTCAGGGTGGGAGGTGGGCAGAGCCCTGGGGGGGGATATAGGGAGCCTTGGGGGGTCCGGGTCAGACAGTCCATTCCTTAGGCTCGGCTCTGCTGGGGAAAGGCAAACTCTGAGCCCAAAAAATCCAGCAAAAATCAGGATTTGGGACCCAAAATCAAGGAAAAGCCCTCCCAGAAAATCAAGGCTGTGCTGAAAAAACACCTGGAAAAATTGGGACTTAGGACCCAAAAACATCCCCCAAAAAACCCGCCAGAAAATCAGGATTTAGGCCCAAACCCAAGGAAAAGCCCCTAAAATGCCCTTCAGCCCCTCCCCACTGTTCCTATTCCCAGCTTTCTAGCACTGACCATCCACTTCCCTGCCATCCATCGACATCCCATCCAGGCCCTCGCTCAGGGAATCCACGGATTCTGTGTCCTGGGCGCAGCCGTTCACATGGAATCCGTTCATTCCCCCCTTTTCCCAGTTTCCTGGGGTCTCCTCTCCGGGGGAAACTGGTTTTCCAGGGGCTGGGAGGGCAGGGCTGGAACCACTGGGAAGTTTGGGTTTGGGTTTCTTCTTTTTGTTCTGGGAATTTCGAGGAGAAAAAAAAACATGTTAGTTGTGATTCCTGAGGGGATTTGTGATTCCTGGAGGGAATTTTGGCTGGAAAATCCCACAGGAATGCCATGGAAAATCACAGGAATCTCATGGGAAATCTCATGAGAATCCCAGAAGAAAACAGGGAATTTCTGTGCCAGGTCCCCAAAAGATGCAGATTAAATTCCCCTTGGGATTCCCTTTCCCACCATTCCCAACTGGATCCCCCGAATTCCAAAGGTTTTAGGGAATATTTAAGAAGTGGTACCTTTTTTTTGCCTGTCACAGTCCATTCCTTCAGCACCTCACTGGCATTCCCTGTAAAGGAAAACAGGGATGAGAGGTGGGAAAAGGAGCATTCCAGGTCCTTCCTAGACACTTGGAGGTGCTTCCACACCTGGAAAACCAAGTTTCAAATCTCCTGGTTGATGGAATTAAAGGAGGGGTTTGAGTTGGGCTTTGGGAATTCCCAGTTGAGATGTTGCCCCCTTGGGATACAGGGGAAAAATCCCACTTTTGGGGGGGAAAAATCCCATTTTCCAGGGGAAAAATCCCCGTTTCTGAGGAAAAAAAATCTCCCAAAATTTCTGCCATTTCACAGGTTTGGGCATCAAATCCCTGTCCACAAACATGGGATGAACCTTCTACACCTCACATTCCATCCCAAATCCCAGAATTCCCACCTTCCATGAAGGCCTGGACTGTTTTATCCACACAGTTGTCAAAGTGCTGCAGGACCAAGACAATCTCGTTGTTGCTCCTGTTGGGAACAATCGCTCGGACAGCTCCAATCTAGGGGGAAAAACATGGAAAAGTGGCTGGAATTTGGGTTGTGGGAGATGATTTATCCAGAATAAAGATTCCAAAGGCTCCTTTACCTTTTCCTTCATGTTCTCAAAGGTCCCTCCCTGGGCCATCACAGTGTTGGATTGAACATCAAAGATAAATCCCGAAGGATCTGTGGGAAAAGGACAAGGAAAGTCCTAAATAACTGTGCCAAGGAGAACGTGGACCCCCAAATCCCACTAATCCCAAAATCCCAGCACCTGAGAGCATTGTCCAAACCCTCCATGACCTCTGGAATATGGAAAGTCCAGCTCTGAGTCCTGCTCAGGACACTCTAATTCCCAAAATCTCAACTTTTCAGAGCCTTTCCCTCAGCTCTGGTAGGTTTGGAGCCTCCTCCTTCCCTGGGAAGCAGTTCCAGGGTCCCACCAACCCCTGGGGGTTGGATTTATCCCAAAATCCAGCCTAAACCCTCCCCTGTCACAGCTCCAGCCTTTCCCTGGGGTCCTCCAGAGCAGAGACTGGGATGAACAATGACCATTCCCACCCCTCATTCCCACATCAAACCTCCCCCTGATCCCAGCAGCAAAGAGTTAAGGAGCCTCTGGAGCAGCCCTTGGATACCAATTTCCTCCTCCTGGAGACACCAGTGGCATCCAGACTGATAAATGGGAATGAAGATCCAGCAGTTTGTGTTCCAGGAGCTCCCAGGGAATGTTTGGATGCTCCAAGAGACCCATAAACGGAGACGAGCCATCACTGACATCCGAAAGGTCACATAAATCTGCACATCCCCAGCCATTCCCAGGGGGATTTCCTGCCAGGCAGGTCTAATTCAGATTTTAAGAAGGAAAAGGGATGTTGCTGTGGTTTTCTGGGATAAAATATGGTGGTTTAGGGCTCAGGAAGGGCCTTGGAGGGGACAAAAACAGGACCCGGAGGTTTGGAATGATCCCATTTGGCACCACCACCCCCTTTCCAGGGAGTCATGGAATTATTAAGGCTGGAAAAGTCCCCTCAGACACCAAATCCCATTGTTTGAGGGGGCTCTTCCAACCTCCATAATTCCAGGACTCCCCAGAGATTCCATGACACCTGTTCCCTCCTGAGATCTGAACCACCAGTTCCCACCATTTCTGTCCCAGTAAACCACACCCAGATCCCTTTTCCTTGGCAAATCCCCATGATTTGAGGCATCCCACTCCCCAGTTCTCCTGCAGAGCCCCTCCGGTGTCCCTGGCTGTGTCCTGGCCCTCCCTGCTCCATCCCCACCGACATTCCTGATATCCCAGAGCCGCTGGCGCATCCCCTCCCCTCCTGTAAATAAGCAGGACGTGGGTCGGAGACGCCCCATTGACTCCCAGACATTGATGGAGCTTTTCCTCCCCCACAGCTCCAAACACAGTGACAGAACCCTGGGAATGATGGAAAGGTCAGCCCTGGATTCTGAGAGGATAAATCCCTCAAAGCCCCCTGGCTGGAGCCACATTCCCACCCCCGACATGTCACTCCCCATTCCAGCCCTTCATCTTCCAAAGAGCTCCAACCTCATCTCAACAGTGGGAATTAACGATGTTTTCCCCCAAAACTTTCACAGCAGAACAGCCACGGAGGATCCTGGGGAAGGAATCCCAGAATTCCAGGATCCCAAGGATCCAGCCTGGCCCATCCCTCTGTCCCTTCCCACATCCCGCCCAACTCGGTACCATCCTGAAGGTGCCTCCATCCCCTTGTCCAGACTGATCCCAAATCATCACCCAGGACATTAAAGAGGCTCCCTGAGCCCTGGGAAGTGCCTATTCCCAGCTGGAAGTACTGGGATTCCCAGGGCAGGGAGCTCCTTCTACATTCCCTCTCTGGCTGCTTTGCTCCGGCCCCAAATCCTCCCGGAGTTCAGACACTTCTCATGCAAAAATTATGCGCCTGAGCCAACCCCAAACCCGCTGGATATGGCCCTGGATGTGCTCCCAGGAATCCTTAATGGGATCTGCTGGCACCAGGGGCTCCCCAGGAAGGGACGGAATTTCAAACGCGGCCGCCAGGACTCAAGAGCTCGGAATTTGCATTTTTGTGGAAAGGGAAAGATCCTTCCTTGTGTTGGGAAAAGATTCTTCCCTGCGCCAGGAAAAGCTCCTTCCCCAGCTCAGGAAAAGCCAGATTTTCCCTCTGGTCAGAGCCTGAATTCCTTCAAAATAACTACTTCCCAATGTTTTCCCTCAACTTCCCATCTTTTCCCTCAGTTTCCCCCTTGTTTTTCCCCTCCCAGACCCCTCAATTCCTTTCCCAGGTGGGATTTTCCCTCAGCACATGGAACCGACTCCATTCCTCAACTCCTTAAATGATTCCAAGGGCTCAAACTCCAACACAACCATTGAAAACCACTCCCAAATGATCCCATATCCCAATTTCCAGGACTAATTCCCTGAATCCAGCTCAGGGCTCCTCAGATCGGTGGCAATTCTGTGACAAAGCCTCTGGAAATAACCACTTTATGCATAGAGAACAAAAGCTCTTCCAGGAGGGAAAGGACGGGAATTGTCAACTCAGGAGCCTTAAATTATTAATTAGTCGGTGCAAATAAAGAGAAAATGTGACCTCCCGACACACAAACACCCTCTGGAATTAATATTCCACACAAAGAATCCCCTGGAATCAGCTCTGAGGTGGCAGAGAAAGGTGGGTTTGGAGGGAGAAAACTGCTCCTGGTACCACACCCAAGGAAAAAAAGGCTTGGAGAGGGTTCATTTGAGGTGTTTTTCCAAGAGGGAAGTGTTTTTCCAAGGCCTGAGCCTTCCCACCCCAAATCTCGGCTCATTCCTTGACTGGACTCCTAGGAATGGGCTCCCATGAGCCACTCCAAGGAGGAATCCTGTCTTAAAATCCCAAATTCTGTGGAAAACATGACCAAATCTGGGGAGAATTAATCCATAAGGAACCAAAGCACTCCCTAAATCCAGGCCCAGCAATGGGATTTCACCACTGGGATCCCAAAAAACCCACAAAGTCCAGCTCTGCTACTTCCCAGCTGCTGTTTTTTCCCTCAATATCCTCATTTTTTCCTGCTCTTTTCACTCCTGCTGCCTGTGGAAAGGCTGAGATATTCCCATTAGAGCCTGGAAGTCACAGCTGTCCGAGCGGGAAGTTGAAATGCTCCTAAAAATGTCACCGAGCCCAGAAGGTCCCGGGATGTCACCGAGATGGTGACAAGAAGCTGTCAGAGAGGCCCCAGAGGCTCCCCAGGGAACGGGGTAGGAACGAGGCCTTTTCCCAATTAAAAAACTTGGGAATCACCAGCCCTGGGCAGGGTGGAAAAGGGAAGGTTTGATCCTGTCACGTCTTACCTTTTGTGTTCTGCTTTTTAGACATTTTCAGCCCCAAATTCAGCTACAAAAAGGGAGGAAATAATGGGAATTCTGAGAGGTTTTGGGGACTGGGGAGGAAAATTCCCAGTCCAGGGGCCTGGAGCTGTCGGGAATGTAGGGACAGGCAGAGCAGCTCCTTCCTGAAGGAGGTTCTGTCCCAGCTCCAAGTGGAATTTCTGGAAGAGAAAAGGTGGAACAAAAATAAGGGATGAGAGGAGGGAATTGCTGGGTTGGGAGGCAAAGTGTTCCCAGGAGTTTCCAGGGGTTTTTAAGGAGTTGGGCTTTGAAAGGGATAAAAGAGCCAGGTAGGGAAAAAAACAGCTAAAAATAGATATAAATTTCTATTTATTACATAGGTTTAATTTATGTGTTATTAATGATATTAAATATTGGAAATATTACAAATAATGCTATAAAATATTGCCTATAATCACTATTATTTATACACTTTAATTTATATATTATAGAATTTAATATACGGTAATTGCATGCAACGTTATATATCATAATGTTTACAATATAAATGTAATAATTTTTAATATATAAATTTTCATAACTTAAACAGCATATAAAGTAAATTCCATATCAAATAACCTCCACATATTATATCTAATTTCATATAGCTTTTGTTAATATAGTTTTATATCACAGAAATTATTCAACTATGAATTTTATAGCACAGAAATGTTATACTCTAAATTTTATAGCACATAATTTGTACATAAAATAAATCTTATATATTTTTAACATTATTTTGTATATATATAATATATATTATTTTTGTTATAGATATTTTCTATATGAATTTTATATAATGTATATTCTATGCTATACAGATTTTATTCAATGTAATCTATATTTTGTATTATATACTTTTTGCTTAATATAAACACATAAATTATACTCAACATAAATTTTATGTAATATGAACTTTATTCCATTATAAATTATCCATAACATATCCATAAAGCCCCAAATCCCTTTGGATTTGCTTCAGTTCAACTCTTGAATTTAAAGCCACTTTAAACCCCTAACAGTGAGTGGAAAAAATCTAGATTTGAACTAAAACAATAAAAACTGCCACAAATCCCAACATTTCGGGATCAAATCCCACCCAGGGACAACCCAAACTCCTGGATTTCAGGATTGATTCCCCCAGGAAAGGCAAAATCCTGCCACCAGCACCTAAAGACCCCCAAATTTAACTCCTTCCTGCTTCTTTCAAGGTGCACAACCCACCCTCCAAGGTGAGAATTCCAGGGGAGGATTTTCCTTGGGGAAAAAAAAAAGAAGCAGGATAAGGGTTAAACAAAGACCAGGATCCAAAGGTGAGGGAACAATAGATCCGGCTCTGGGATAAACCTCCCGATGGAGCAGGGGAAAAGCTCCCAAAATTCCCATTTTCTGTGCAAAACAGATCCCAAAATTCTCATTTTCCTCTGGAAAACAGAGGGATCTCGGGGCACAAAATATTTGGGATATTGGGAGAGTTTGTCCCTGGTGGGAAAAGGGGCAGGAATGACCTGACAGCGAATTTGCTGCAGGATTAACTACCCCCTGGATCAGGATTGCTTTTAAGGATTAAAAAGTGCCAAGGGAATTTTTTTTAAGCATTGACAAGTCCTAGGAATTTTTCGTAAGGATTCACAAATCTCAGGAATGCTCCAGGAACAGGGACAGGGTTTGGATTTAAAACCAGTCTTTTCCACTCTGGACTTCCCTTCCAAGCTCCCAAACTTATTCCTGAGGAGTGAATCCCAATGATTGAAATCCCAGACGAAATCAACCCTCCTGTCGGTACCAAAAAAGAAAAAAAAAAAACAAAACAAAACAAAGCAAAACAGGAAAAGGAATTTTTTACCTGGAAAGAGTCCCAAAAGGAAGGGATTAAACTCCTGCCTTCAGCTTTTCCCAATTAAAACTCCTTCATCCCTTAAAAGCAAGTCTGGAATTGGGAATTTCAGGGGGATCCGAGGGATTCCAGCCCAGTTTCACTTCCCTGCTTTGCTCTGTGGCCACAACCAGGAAATGCTGTGCCAGGAAAACCTTCAGATTCCAGATAAAGCCGGAGCTTAGGAAAGGCTGGAGCTCCCGCCCCGACCTCTGATCCCAGCTTTAGAACCCTTTGGAAGGGCTTTAAACCTAAAGCCAGGCTTAAAACGCAGCAATTCAGTAAAACCAAGCCTAAAATCCCCTTTATAATCTTATTTTTGGGAATAAAAATGGTGGGAATGCCTGGGCATGAGGGGTTTGGAGCACCTTGGGAGTGCTTTAATTCCCTGGGGTTTAATTCGTGGAACAAAGGGATGTTTAAAAAGTGCCTCTGCAGGGACATCCCAGGAGCAAATCGGGCCAAAAACATCTTGAAGTTCATATAAAAGCTGGAAAAAATATGAGTTGTCCGTGGAATTTTTGGAGAAAGTTCAAAAATCTCCCCAAAATTCCCACCTGAGCAGTCAAAAAACAGAGTTTTGTGCAGTTTAAAGGAGGAAAATCAACAGAAATTTAGAGGGGTAGAACAAATGAGGGTTTGGAAAAGGGAATTTTGAGGAGAAAATGCAATATTGGGAATGGGAGTGAAAGCACAGGGATGGATAAAATGGGATCAAATGGCTAATTCTTGATAATTAATTAATATGAATTAATATTTCACCTGATAAAGCTCCTGGAACACAGCAGATCCCTGGAATTCCTAACCGGTTTTAGGTGGGAATTTTCAACATAAAGGGCTGAAAAAAACCCCCCTAAATCCGAGTGGGAATTCAGCGGGAAAAGAGGAATTAACATGGCGGGGGGGGTGGTTACGGAGACACAGGAAAGCCCCAAAACTGCCCCAAAAATCCGTATTTCAAACAAATAGTGGTTTTTTTAAGGGAATTTACGTGGACCAAAACAACCCAAATCTGGCTGGAACAACCAAATTCCTGCAGGAAACTTCCCCAAATCCCATGGAAATGCAGAGGAGTGTTACAGGGGACTGTTATCAGAAGGAAAACAGTTAAAATTCTCAGCCAGTAAGTAAAAAAAAAAAACCCAATTCCCAAACTCCCAGTTCCAGAGCTGTTTTTGCTCCATCCAGACTGATTATTCAAGGAAAATTTGGGTGGAAAAGTGAAAAAAGGGAGAAATTTGTCTGGGTTTTTATCGGGCTCAGGGAGATTCAGCTGAAAACACTGGTGTTTGAAAGAATTAAACAAAAATTGGGGGTTTTGGGGGTGTTTTGGTCTCCTGGAAAGGACCGTGTGGATAACTGGCTCTGGAATTATGGGACCTCATATTCCAGCTTATTTCCATCTTGGGGATCATCCCTGAGTACACAGAAATTGGCATTTTCTAATTATTTTTCAATAAAAAATCCAATTTCCAACACTCTGGAGGCCCCAGGTGGGCCCTGACCCCCCCGTGGAGCACAAGGAATTAAATCCTGACTAAAAAATGGGATAAGACACTAAAAATCCAGGGATTTCTCACAAAAAAAACACCTCAAAGTCCTCCCAAAGAGCTGGAAAAAAACCACAAATTGCCTGTGAAGTTTCCGGGGAAGCTCAAAAATCCCCCCCCAAATTTCCACCTGAACAGCCAAAAAATAAGAGTTTCATTCAGTTTAAAGGAGGACAATAAACAGGATTTAAGTGGGAAGGGGGGAATAAACACACCCAGGGCTGGGATGAGGGTTTGGAAAAGGGAATTCTGGGCAGGAAATAAAATGCATAAATATATAAAATATATTATAGATTTATATAAATAACACTTAAATAAAATATACAAAGATTTAACACCCCAACAGTCCAAATTTCTGTGCTGTGGTAGGAAGGTTTTTCATGTTTAGAACTCCCAGCTCCAGTTTTATCCCAAATTCTGCTGAATTCCCAGGAAATTTAAACCCTATACTTTGGGATTTTTTTCTCCCCCAAAACACATGAAGTTCAAATGCCTTCTTTTCACATACCCCTTGGTGGGTTCTGACCCAAAAGCAAGTATTTTAGCCCCAAAACAGACACAGAATGCATCAATCCAGGGATTTTACTGCAAAGGAAGGAAGCCTGCCTGGAATTGCAGGGGTTTTCCCCCCCAAAAAATCAGGAGAATCAGGTTTTTTCGCCCTAAAAAAATCAGGATAATCAGTTTTCATAAGCCTTTTAAACACAAGGAAAGGCCGATTCCAGTGGCTTTTCCCATCCCAAAGGTGCTCCTGGAATACCAAACCCCATCTCAGGATTTTAAAGGAATAATTCTTTAATGTTCCTCCTGGGGCCTGGTGGGGGGGGGGAAGTGGAAGGTGGGAGATAATGAGGTGTCTGTATTCCAGGGAAATCCACGCGTTTATTGTCTGGAGTTATTCCAGGCACGGCCAGGAATGAGGAATCATCCCACATCCATCTTTTATGAGGTAACTGGGACACGTTTTCCTGCTTCAAAGGGGTAAAACTGGCGTTCAGAGAAGTGGAGGGAAAGGGAAAAGGGGGAAATAAGGGAGAAGGGAAAAAAGAACAGGAAAAAAGGAAAGGGAAAGGAAGGGAAAAGGAAGAGGAAAGAGGGTGAGGGAAAAGAAGAAGGAAAAAAGGGAAGGGAAAGACGGGCAAGAAAGAAGGGAAAGAAAGAGGGAAAGGAAAGATCCCAAACTCTCCAGACTCTCCACCTGCAACTTTTGAGGGGAAAAAACCTCAACATCTTCCAAAAGAACCATTTTTATGCTGGAAAAGATCTCTGGGATCACGGAACCCAAGGAAAAACCTCCCAGGGAAGATGTGGCAGCCAGAGCTTTCCTGTGGGAGCATCCAGTGGGAAACACAGCCCAGAATGAGGAAAAAATAATCCTAAACCCCTCAAAATCCCAAAATATCTGGTGGGACACTGAGGCCAAGCGCTTGGGAAGTTGGAAGGGAATTTTCAGCCATTTTTCCTGGTTTTCCAAGTTTTCCTCCAATCCCAAGCTGGGACCCCTCAAATCTCACCCTCAGGACCCCTAGAGGGGGGACAATGACACCAGAAAGCACCTCAGGGACAATTCCCACATCCTAATCAGAATCTTCCCCCTTCTCCACATGGAATTAAATCCCATGTTTCCCTTTCCATCCCTCTGGAATCTGTGTTTCCACAGGGAATGGACCACAACTTGGCTCTCTCAACAACGGGCTGGGACAAGAGCAGCACCCACGGGGGTGGGGAAAGTGGGAATTAGACTCTGGAAAAGTGGGATTTAAGCTCTAGAAAAGTGGGAATCAGGCTCTGGAAAAGACTCTCCATATCCTGCTGCCTGGATGTGCCATGGAGAAATCCCTGAGTGGATGGGGAGGGTGAGAATCTGTGCTAAACCCAGGAACTTCGAGGGGGTCTGGGGGGAACATCATCATCATTTTTCACTGCGTTAACTGTTGGGAATAACGACCAAAGGAAGGGAAAACCCCAGTCCCTGGGGATTTGGGAGCCACTTCACAACTCCAAAATTCCTGTCACCCCCTTGGGCTGGCAAAGCTCCTCAGCCCCCCCAGATCCTCATAAAGTCCCTAAGACCTCCCATAAGTTCCCTCCACCCCCCTCACAAGTACCCTCACACCCTCCCCAAATCCTCACCCACCCCCATGACTGGACTCCTCAGACCCCCTATAAGGTCCCCCAGCACCCCAACCCCACACGAAGCCCCCTCTGACTCCCCCAAACCTTCACAAGGCGCCTCTGACTCCTTCAGACACCCCCAACTCATCAAGAGATCCCTCAGCCCCCCCAAATCCTCACAAGGCCCCTCAGCCTCCCTAAAGAGACCCTCAGTGCCCCCTCACTCCCTCACGAGACCCCCTCGGCCAGGCCCCAACCGCGCCTCCCCCGCCCCCTCCCGCCCTCCGGGCCGGTCCCAGGGGTGTCCGCGGGGTGTCCCGAGGGGTGTCCTGCACTCACCGGGGGGTCCCGGGGGTCCCTTTTTGGCCCCCCTTTCTCCTCCTCCCGCGATCGCTCCGCGCGGGGGCCACGGCCCGGCAGAGCCCCCTCCGCGCGACAGCCAATCAGCGCGCGGCCCTCGCCCGGCAGACCAATCACTGCGCACCGGCGGGGAGAGCTCCACCAATGATAGCGTGGGAAGGCCCCTTTAGTCCCGCCCTCCACTGCCGTTCCGCAGCTGAGCCCCGCCCTCCCCACGAGAGGGGCGCGGTTAACCCCCTAACAGCCAATCAAATGCCTGGATCTTTTAGATCACGCCCGTAATGGGCGGGGCGAAGAACTCCGAACGTGGCCGGAAACTGCCGGAAATGTCCGAAGGAGGGGGCGGGGAGAGGGGGGGGTGAGGGGATGGGATTGGATATCGCGGGTTCGAGTCCCTGTCCCGACACAACGAGGGATCGCCGGGGTGAGAGGACGGGGAGGGTCGTGTTTGTCACAGTGTCACCCCCCCGCCGCCCGCCGTGGTCCCGCCAGCTCCTCGTAGGCCTCCTGCAGCTCGATGAAGCGCCGCTCGGCCTCACGCACGCGGTGCCGGTTGTGGTCCGGGTGCCAGAGCTTGACGAGCTCCCGGTAGCTCCGCTGAACGTCCTCGGCCGAGCACCCCCCGTGCAGCCCCAGAACCTGCGGGGGGTACATGGCAGGGCGGTGGGGACGGTGGAGGGGGCGCCCAAAGCGGAGGTCTGGCCCCCGGAGTGTGGGAGCGGCTGAAGCACTTGGACCCCCATCCCTGCTTCCCCCACCCTATGGACCCCCCATCCGAGTATCCCCCATCCCACAGACCCCCATCGCAGCCCCTCCTACCCCATGGACCCCCAGCACGTCATCCCCTGTCCTATGGATTCCCCAACAGAGCATCCCCACCCTACAGCCCACCCCCAGACCCCCAGTCCCCCATCCCACAGACACCACAGGCCCTAATCCCAACATCCCCCACGCCACAAACCCCCAACAGAACATCACCTGTCCCATGGACTCCCGGACCCGCCAACCCACCATCCCCCTCCACCATGGAAGCCCCCAGCCCCCCTTCCCGCATCCCCTCGTTCCCCCCGCGCCACCCTCACCTCCAGCGCCCGCCGCCTCCTCTCGTTCGCTCCGCTCCCCGTGCCCCCTTGACCCACCTCGGGGGCCCCCTCGACGACCCCCAGCCCCTCGAGCAGCGCCCACCCCGCGCGGAGGGGCAGGACCCCCATCCTGAGAGGTAGCGTCAGGACGGTGCCTGCGACCCCCAGGGCCCCTCTGACGCCCCCCCAGGCCAGGGGGGCCCCGAAAGCCACGACCCCCAGCCCCAGGTGGCACAGCCGGGCCGACAGCGGGGGCGGGGGGTCCCGTGGGGGTTCGAACCGGCGGTGCCACGCGGCCACCGCGGTGGTCGCCAGGCTGGTGGGCAACAGCCCGCCCTGGAAGAGGAGGGAGGAGAGGAAGGCGGTGACCAGGACGCGGGAGCGGTTGGTTCCTTGGTCGCCCACCGAGGCCACCAGCAGCACCCCCAGCGCCACGGCCAGCGGAGGGGGCACCCAGGGGACCCCAAGCGCGGCCACCAGCCCGAAATATGCCCCCACCAGCAGCTGCCCTGCCACGCGCAGGGGGCTAAGGATGGGCACAGTCCCACTTTCGGGGAGCCGGGGGGGGCCGTTGGCAGTTGCCACCCAGCCCGGGAGGTGCCACACGTCCCAGAGCCACCCGGCGCCGAAGCCCCCCAGGGTGAGGATCCAGAGCAGAGCGTGGCGGTCACGGCCCAGGTACACGTGGTGCAGCCCCAGGAGCCCCCCAAGTGCCCACAGCCCCAGGGCCACCACGAGGCTCTTGGCCATAGTGGGGGGTGAGGGGGAGCTCGGGGGTCCTGGGGGTCTCTGGCGTGGCCCCGGCGTCTGGAGAGCTCTGTGAGGGGGGTGGGGGTGGGTCAGGGACCCCTGGTCATACTGGTGTTTCCCCCCCACATCAGAGACCTCCAAGGAGCTGCTGGCGTACCCGGGACACCCTGGGCCCGTCTGGGACCCTTCAAGCCCACCCAGGAAACCCTGATCCCACCCAGCACCCTGTGAGCCCACCCAGGACACCCTGAGCCCATCTGGGACCCTCTGAACCCACCCACGACACCCTGAGCCCACCCAGCACCCTGTGAGCCCACCTGGGACCCCTGAACCCTCCTGGGTCCCACTGACCCACCCTGAGCTCCCCTAGCCCCCCGTGAGCCCCCCCGGGCTCCTCCACCCCACCTGTCCCAACGCTGCCGTTGCCGCGTCACCCCCAGACTTTGCCCCGGGCAAAGGGCACCACGGGGGAGGGGGGGGGCACCGCACAGGGCGGGGGGACCTGTGGGGGCCTGGAGTCCCCCTGGAAAACCCTAGCCCCAAATCCCCTTGCCGAGGGTCACGCCCCCCCCGCCATCCACCCCCGCCCCGAACCCCTCTCAGGGGCTTCCCGGGGGGGCTGCAACCGCTCCCCGCCTCAGCCGGGATGGGCTTTTGGGGGGACATCGCCCCACTCACCCCAGATCGCTTCTGCCCTGAGGTTTGGGGATCCGTCGCCCCCCGTCGCTGCTGTCCGAATGGGGACCCCCAGACCCCCCGTTTTTTGGGGGTGCATTGTCCCCCCACCGCTGCTGCCCTGAGGTTTGGGGGTCGATCACCCCGCCTTTGTTGTTGCCCTGGGGCTGGATGGGCCCCCCCAGACTCCTGGTTTTTAGGGGCCCATTGCCCACTCCCTCGCTGCTGCCCAAAGCCCCTCCCCCCTTTTTGGTGGGTACCTTCCCCCTCCTCTCTGCTGCCCCTCCGGTTTCGGCAGAGCTGGAGCTCCCCCCCGTGCCCCCCCGTGCCGTGGCCGGGGGGGCCTGCTGTAGCCCCCTTGTCTCGCTGCCGTCAGGGCTGACGGGCCCCCCCCCGCTGCCCACCCGCGCCTCGCTGCCTCCCTGACAGCGGCTCCCGCGGGACCCCCGCCCACGCTCCGCTGCCCCCCGGCCCCGACAGCCCCAAACGGGGGGGGTCCAGCCCCCCTCGCGGCCAATTTAGAGGGGTCCAGCCCCCGCCAGCACCACTGGGGGGGGGGTCACCGCCGCTTGGGCAGCCCCCAGACCCCTCAGTGTTTCCCCCGCTCGGTGCGGGGGGGTCTCTCTGACATCCCGATCGATCCCTTCAAATATCTGGATTTAAAAATGTCAAATTTGCCTCGGGTCGATGGGGGAGAGGGGGGCTCGACACCCCCCCCCGGGTGGCCTCAACTGCTCTCAGAGCCCCCCAGCACTCCGGGGGAAAGCAGTGGAGTCCTGGGGGATCTCGGGGTGCTGGGAGGGGTTAAGAGGTTCCCCAACCTCCCCCCCCAACACCATTTTGGGTGTAATTTGTGCCATTGATCGTTCACGGGCACCGACGGGGGGGCATCGATTTGGGGGAAGTTTACTGGGAATTGGAGCATCTGTCACGGCCCGGGCAAGGGGGAACACTGGGAACACCGGGAGGGGGGGACACGGTGGGAGGGGAACGGCATGGGGAACACGGGGGGAGATAGGGGAGGACATGCAGGGGACATGCAGGGGACACGAGGGGACACAGAGGGACATGTGACCCTCAATCCACACAGACACACACGTGCATCACACACGTGTGCACAAACACACACATGTGCACACACACGTCACACACACACACCTGTGTGCTCACACACACACCTGTGTGCACGCGCGCGCACACACACACACACACACGTGTAAAGGCCCAACCCCGTTCCCGTCCCCTCCCTCCCCCTCCCCGATGCCCCCCCTGCCCGAGGGTCCCCCCGGGCTCGTCCATCACCGCCAGCGCCGCGGGCCCGGAATTGGGGGAATTTTGCCTGGATTAGGCGCGAGGCGCATTAATCCATTAGAAATGTCAGCGCGCGGCCCCGCTAATTGTCTCATTTAAATGTCTATTTGTCAGCGCCCGGCTCAGGTGCGCATGAGGCGCATCGCAATGAGCCCTCCTGGCCCCCCCGGCCCGGCGGGGAGGGGGCAGTGAGGACGGAGATGGGGGTCCGGCGGCCCCCCCCCACTGCCGGGCTGGGTTTGTGCTCCGACATCTCCTGAATCCCTGATAAATGTCGCTTGTCCAGAGAATCGAACCCGGCCCGACCGGTCCGTCCATCTCCTGCCGGTGAGGGGGGCATAAGGGGGGGGGGGGAACGAAATCCCCCCGCCCCAGGGATGCCCCCGTAGCCGGGGTTGGGACCCCACGGCTCGTCACAGTGGGGGCAAAGTAGGAGGGCCGTGGTGGGGCTGGGACTCGGCACCATCCCGAGGGGCACAGGGGGAGCTCGGGGTGTGGATGAGACCCCCCAGCACCGCTGTGGGGTGGGGGCTCAGCACCATCCGGGGGGGGGGGCACACGGCGTGTTTGGGGTGCAGATAACACCACCCCCCCCCACACGCAGCACCGCTCAACCCTGGGGTGATGCAGCTGCCCCAGGGTGGGACCCGCTCCCCCACCCCATCGCATCCCCCAGACCTCCACTGCTCGGGGAGGGGGCCTGGCACAGCCCCCTGACCCCCTCTCGGCCCTAATAAACAGCAGTCGCTAATGAGCTGGGAGGGGGGTGGGGGGGTGGGCTGAGGGTGCTCGGGAGGTGCCAGGGTGGGGAGGGGGCTGCAGTGAGGTCTGGGAGGCACACTGGGGTGCGGGTGACAGCGGGGACTCCCCAGCGTTGTCACTCGCCCCCCCAGCCCCGCGACAGCTCCAGGACCACCCCCCCCGTGTGTGTGTGTCCCCCACCGCTGGTTCATTATGCCCTCAAGGACAATTTTCCTCCAATTCGGGCCATTTGTCCCCAACCCGCCCCGGCTCCCCCGGTGGCCGCCCCCATCCCATCCATATCCATTGACGCGGGGTATGGACCCCGACCAGTCCCCCCGGGGACAGCGGGGTGACACTTCCAGGCACTGGGGACGCTTCAGCACCGTGTACTGGGCTGTACTGGGCGGCACTGGACGTGCTCCCCCCTGAGCCGGGGGATCCTGGGGGGCCGCGGAGGCAGCTGGTGACCGTGGGGTTGTGTCAGAGCGGCGGGGGGGACAGGGGGCCGGCGGGGACATGGGGACGTGGTGTCATGAATTTATTCATGTGCTGCGGCCAAATCCGGCCCCGCCGCCCCCCCCCGCTCAGCCTCCCTGGCTCAGCTCCCCTCGCAGCCTGGGGGGAGCCTGGGTCCGTGTCCTCATTCGGGAGGAGTCCGGGGCGGGTCCTGGGTCCTGTCTGGGCTCAGCAGGATGGGGAAACTGAGGCAGAGACACGAGAGACCCCAAAGGTGGGGCTGAGCCCCCCAAGCCCAGTTTTACCAGCTCCAGACTCAGCCCAGGGGGTTTTAGGCAGGATCAGACCGTGACTGAGCCGCCCCAAACCCAGTGTAACCCGCTCCAGGATCAGCCCGGGGGGGATTTAGGCAGAATTTGGCCGTGACTCCCCCACACCTCCATCTCCCCCGCTCTCACCGCTGCCCCTCAGCCTCACCTCCCCCACCAGGACCCCCGAGGACCCCCCAATGTCCCCTCGTGTCCCCGTCACCTCCCAGCCCTGCTAATTAGCGCCCGGGCTTCCCCTCGCTGCCGTCTTAATTAATTCGTTGTTGCTGCTCATTAAGCTCAGCCTGCTCGGGGGTCGGGGCTGCACCGTGTCCCCGAGGCGGGGGGGACACATGGTGTGGCATCGATGCCTCCAGACCGCCCCCCCCCCCCGACCACTCGGCGCCGTAATTTGTTGCACAAACACGGCGGTGTCGGGGCCGCATCGATCGCGGGCAGCGCGGCCGTAAATCCGCGGCCGATCCACGGCCGATGATGGATCGCGGGGATCGGAGGGATCCGAGACCTTTGGAAGCGCCGGGAGAGGGAGAACGGACCCGATAAATCACCCGCGGGGGGCAGAGAGGGGGAGTGGAGCCCACCCGCGTGACTCCTGAGTGGGGATGGACACGGATGTGCTGGGGATGGATGTGGGATGGACACATGGATGTGGGATAGACACACGGACATATGGGATGGACGTAGGGGTGTGGGATGGACACACATGGGATGGACACACAGACACATGGGATGGACACAAGGGTGTGGGATGGACACACATTGGATGGACACACAGACACATGGGATGGACACATGGACATGAGAGGGACACAGGCACAGATGGAATGGACACAGAGGGAATAGACACAGACGCACATGGACACACAACAGACGTGCACAGAGCACACACATGCGTGCACACACACGAACACAGCAGGATCACAGTCACATATGCACTAAGCATGAACACACAAAGCACACACACCCAGCATGCCCATATACCCACGAACACACACCCCTGTGCTCACACACACAGAACACACACACAGGGCACACGCACATGCACAGAACACACACACAGGGCACACGCACATTCACAGAACACACACAGAGCACACACGTGAACTGAGTACACCCTCACACAGAGCACACACCCCTACACACCTGTGCACACACCTCCACCCCCCAGCTTCTGTCCCTGGGGGTCCCACTGTGACACCTCACGGACACACATGGACACCACCCCAGGCCCCTCCCCCGGCTTCGTGCAGGGGACCCCCCATTCCACTCTTCCATTCCACTCCCCCATCCCACCCCTCCATCCCACCTCTCCAACCTGCCCCTCCCGGGGGCCCCTCGGTGGCGGGGGGGGAGGGTTGAGGCCCCAAGGACGGTGTTGGGGAGGGCTCGTGAGCCCCGCACCCCAACACGGAGCTCCCCACGCGTTTGGACCCCAAAGGGCCCCCAAAAGCTGCCCTGCGGCCGCCTGCGTGGGGCTGACCCCCACCAGAGGCTGTCCCTGTGCATGGGGGGGGGGATCCCTGTTCACTCTGTGCCAGCTCTCCCGCATCTCCCGGTCCCCGCTCTCCCCCGCCCAGGGCTGTGCACACTCACCCCCTCCCTTGCACACTCACCCTCCTGCGGGTCCCCCCCGCCCCTGGCCGCCTCCCCGCCCCCGCCGTGCCCGGAGCCGTCGAGCGGGGCGGGCGGAGCGGGGCCGTGCGGGGCGGGCGCGGTGCGGGCGGCGGCACCGGCAGCAGGTACCGGAGAGGGAGGGATTGGTTTGGGGGGAGGGGGGCTCACCGAGGGCCCGGGGCCGCGGGTCCCCCGGGAGGGGCGCGGGGGAGTCCCAGAGAACCGGGCGCTCCCTGGGCAAGGGGGTCCCGCTCCCGGGGGTCTCATTCCCAGGGGTCCTGGTCCCGGGGGTCCCTCTCACATACAACTTGGGGAGAAGTTGACCCGCGCGCCGTGGCGTATCCTCCCCGGCTCTATCTCGGTTCCATCCCGTCTTCGGTAGCGGGTCCTTCACGGCTCCATCCCGGCTCGTTCCCAGCTCTGCTCCCGGGTTCTTCCCGGCTCCATCCCGGCTCCAGTGACATCACCAGCTCCAACACCGGCTTCGGTCCCGGCTATTACTGCAGGAGCTCCACTCTCCGCTCCCGACTCCGCTCCCGGCTCCGCTCCGGTACCATCGTCGGCTCCGGCTTCGTTCCCTTCAGCAGTGCCAATCCCGGCTCCACCCGCAGCTCCGGCCCCGCTCCCGGTCCCATCACCTGGAACAGCCACAGCCTCGCTCCCGGTCCCATCTCTGGCTCCACCCGCAGCTCCGCTCCCGGCCCCGTCCCCAGCCCCATTCCTAGTCTCGTCGTCTCTCCCGATCCGTCCTCGTCCCGATCTCAGCTCTCGGTCCCATTCCTGCTCCTGATCCCATCCTCGGCCCCATCCCTGCTCTCAGTCCCATCCCTCGCTCCACCCGCAGCTCCAGCCTCGGCCTCGGCTGCTGTCCCCATCCCTGTCACCATCCCTGTTCCCATCTCCAGCCCCGTCTGAATCCCGTTTCTGTTCCCATCCCTATCCCCATTTCCAGCCCCGCTTCTGTACCCCTGTCCCTGCTGCTGTTCCCACTCCCATCCCCTCTCCCAACTCTGCCACCATCCCCATCCCTGTCCCCATCTCCAGGCCCGTTTCTGTCCCCATCCCTGCTGCTGTTCCTACTCCTATCCCCTCTCCCAACCCAGCCACCATCCCCATCTCTGTTCCCATCCTTATCGCCATCCCTGCCTCTATTTCCATCCCCAGTCCCACTCCCATCCCCTCTCCCCCCGCCCTCCCCGTGCCCTGATTGCCCCGGGGGCGTCCCCTGCGCGCCCCCCGCTGTCGCCACCATCGCCCCCAAGGGCGAGCAGGACCTGCTGGCCGTGGCCGCGTCCCGGCTGCGGCGGCGGCGGCGGGTGGCCGGGGTGGCCGCGGGCGTGGCGATGGTGCTGGTGCTGTTGGTGGCCATCCCGCTGCTCGTGCACAGCTCCAAGGCGGCCGCGCACTACGAGATGCTGGGGAGCTGCCGCATGGTCTGCGACCCTACCTGAGCCGCCCCCGGCCTCCCCGCAGCCCCCCCCGGGCCGCCGGGGCCGCGCCGGAGCGCGGGGACCCCCTGGTCCCCCCGGCCCGCGAGGGCCCCCTGGAGAGCCGGGCCGGCCGGGCCCGCCGGGCCCCCCGGGGCCGGGGCCCGGGGGGTACATCCCGTCCTTCTACAGCCCCAAAATCGCCTTCTACGCGGGGCTGCGGAAGCCCCACGAGGGCTACGAGGTGCTGCGGTTCGACGACGTGGTAACCAACGTGGGTAACTACTACGAGCCCTCCAGCGGCAAGTTCACGTGCCCCCTGCCCGGCATCTACTTCTTCACCTACCACGTCCTCATGCGCGGTGGGGACGGCACCAGTATGTGGGCAGACCTCATGAAGAACGGGCAGGTAATGCAGGGAGAGACTCCCGAGACCCCCGGGCCCCCCCTGCTCTCTACTGGCCCCATGTCTCTCCGTATGGTCCCCCTCCATCCCGGTTTTCCCCACCCAGGTTTTCCTCATCTCGGTTTTCCCACCCAACTTGTGGTGCCTCAGTTTCCTTGTTTACACCTGTCCCGTTTTTTGTTTACACCCATCCCAGGTTTCCTAGTCTGGTTTTCCTTAATTTTAGTTCCCCTGGCCTGGTTCTCTCCCATTCCTGATTCCTCATCCCGGTTCTGCTCCCCCCAAAATCCCCATATCCCATTTCCTCCATCCAATCCCTGCTCCCCAATTTCCATCCTCTCCCCCCAGAACTTCCACTCTCTCCCCCTCCATTCCCAGTTCCCACCCCTCCACTCCCCTCCAAATCCCCACATCCCATTTCCCCCATCCAATTCCCATACAGTCCCTCCATTCCCGATTCCCCATCCCTGGTTATTCCCAAGTCCCCACATTCCACTTCCCCCATTCAATCCCACCCCCAGTTCCTACCCTTCTTCCCCCCTCCCTGATTCCTCATCCCTAGTTCTGCTGCCCTGCAAATCTTCACGTCCCATTTTCTCCATCCAGTTCTCCCCATTTCCGATCCTCTTCCTCCCACTCCCAATTCCCCATCCCCAGTTCCTCCCTCCCCCAGATCCCACATTCCTCCATCCAATACCCCCCCCTTTCCATCCTGATTTCCTCCCACTCCTGATTCCCCACGTCCAGTTCCTCCCCTCTTCCCACATCCCATTTCTACCATCCAATCCTTCCCCAATACCCATCCTTTTGCCCACATTCCTGATTCCTCATCCCCAGTTCCTCCCTCCCCCAGAACTCACATCCCATTTCCTCCACCCATTTCCCTCATCTAGTCCCACCCCAGTTCCCATCCTCTTTCCCCATTCCTGATTCCCCATCCTCAGTTCATCTCTCCTCATGCCATTTCCCCCATCCAACCCCACACCCTCAATTCCCATCCTCTTCCCACATTCCCAGTTCCCCATCCCCAGTTCCTCCCTCCCAAGTCCCCACATTCCATTTTCTCCATCCAACCCCCCCAGTTCCCACGCTCTCCGCCCCCTTCTCCATCTGTTCCCACCCTCTTCCCCCTCTGGGATCACGGAGGGGATGACACCCCCTGCCCCCCTCCCCTTCCATCCCCATCCTCTCCTCAACCTTGGGGTCACACCCCCCCCCCCTTCCCAGAGGTCCTGCCAGGGGGGTGGAGGGGACACGATCCCCTGAGAATGCTGAGCTTGGACTTGATGGGACGTGGGGGGTCTGTGGGGGGTCACTGGAACACCCCCAATGGGGGTGGGGGGCGTCGGGCTATGCCCCCCCGGCCACTCCCTTTGTTTGCTCCCAAGTGGGCTCACCCCGGGACTCTTCCCATCCTTGTATTACGGGAAAAACTAGGATCGATCCAAGGTGGTCAATGCCCCCCCAGCACCACCACCCCAAACCGAGCTGTCCCCGTGTCCCCCCGGGACATCCTTGGTCCGGGGAGGTGCTGCACAGGAGCCTGGAGGGGTCCCGTGCTCCTGGTCACCGTTCTTGGAGCCTGCCTTGGGTAGGGGGATCTCCTTGTCACTCTGTGGGACCCCCGGGGTACCCCTGTTATCCTGTGGGATGCCGGTGGTGCGGGAAGGGAACCCACGTGTTCCCAGGTGTCTCCAGGTTGTCCCCTCGGCTACACTCGTGGCCCGGGGGGACATCGGCTCTGCCCCATCTGGCACCATGACCTTGAGCACCCCTCGGGGGTCCCGAATCCCCATTCCCTCGTGGGTGGGGAGTGGTCCTTGACCCCACGCCCCTCCCCCGCCCCCAAGGTCCGTGCCAGCGCCATCGCGCAGGATGCGGACCAGAACTACGACTACGCGAGTAACAGCGTCATCCTGCACCTGGACGTGGGCGACGAGGTGTTCGTGAAGCTCGACGGGGGCAAAGTGCACGGGGGCAACACCAACAAGTACAGCACCTTCTCCGGCTTCATCATCTACCCCGACTGACCTCCACCCCCCGGACGGGGAGGGGGCTCGGGGCGCTGAGACGGGGGTCCTGCCCCCTGCTGCTGTCCCTGCCCCACGACTCTCAGCCCCCCATCATAAAACCACCCCCAAACGCCCCAAAAATACCCCTAAGTCCAGCACCTTGTCCGGTTTCATCATCTACCCTGACTGATCCCCCCCGCTCCCGTGAGGTGAGGAGGGGGCTCAGGGCGCTGGGATGGGGGTCATGCCGCCCCACCCCCCGCAGCGCCCGCCTGTAAAAAGCATCAAAACGCCCCCAAAATACCCCAAAACCGCCCCCCCGCATGTCGCCACCCCCGAGGGGGGAAGGGGGTCCCAGTGTTGTGGCCCCACCCCTGGGACACCCCCCGGGCCCCTCGTGGGGTCTGTCCCGCCTCCCCCCCCCCAATAAAACGCTCTAGGTTTGGAGCTGCGGCTGCTGATTTGGGGAGGGAAAGGAGGTGTCTGGGGACAGGGGGGGACACCTGGGAACAGCTGGGGTCAAGGGGGATCCTCAGGGAAGTCTAGGGGACACATGGGGACACCCGGGGACACTTGGAGGGGACACCTGGGGGCAAGGGGGACACCGGCAGACGGAGGGGAACCCCAGAGGGGTCTGGAGGACACCTGGGGACGCCCCCTTACGGTGATCACGCCCCATCACCATGACCTCGCCTCCTTTGCACTGACCACGCCCCTCAGGCCCCTCACGCCCTGAACCCTCCTCCGCTCCCATCGCCCTCCCCGCTCTGCGCGTGCGCACCCGTGCCTCGCTATTCGCAAAAACTACAGCTCCCGTGATTCCCGGCGCGGGGAGCGGGCCAGGGGGCGGGCCAGAGCGCTGATTGGCCGTCGTGGAGGTTTGAACGCGCGCGCGGCGCGAGCTGCCCTCTGGAGGCCGAAAAGGAACGGCCGCGAAACGTGAGCGGAGGTTTGGGGGGTCCGGAGCGGGGGCTCGGGGGGTCCTGAGCGGGGGCTCAGGGGGCTGCGGTCGCCAGGGGGACCGGGGAGGGCGGCCGGGGCAGGAGGAGGTTGGTGAGGAGGAACCGGGGGGCAAAGAGGGGGGGTGAAAGGCCTGAGGGCAGCGGGAGGGGTGTGGTTGGGCTGTCCTGAGGGGAGATCGGGAGTCGTGGGACCCCCTCAGAGGGCTGAGGGTCCTGGGGAGGGGAGCTGTAGATGGGAAGGACAAAAGGGGGCGGGGTGAAAGGCGTGAGGGGCTGCAGAAACGGGGGGGATTTGGAGGGAGTTTGGAGGGGCCTGAAGGGGAAACTGGGGGCCTGATATTGGGACTGGGGGCCTGAGGATGGCGGGGCTGTGAGCTTTAGGGGGCTGTGAGCTCGGGGGGGACGGGGGGGGCGTGCTGTGGGCGTCTCACACCTTCTCCTACCTCTCCCAGCCCCACATCACTTTGGAAACCCCTTAGAGACTCCCCAGGATGGACGGGAAGGAAGAGCGGAACGACATCGAGGAGAGGCTGAAGAAGCTGAGGGTGAGCTGGAGGTGCCTCCGTGGGGAGGGTTTTTTTGACTGGAGGCTGAGTCTCTGCTTTTCCCGGGAAACCCTCTGGGTTTCTCACTGGCACCCCCCAGCTGTGGGGGAGCTAGGGGGACTCTCAAGGGGGATCCTCAGGGGGCTCTGAGCTGGGTTTGGGGGCTCTGACTCCTCTTATTCCCAGGAAACCCTCTTTATCCCTCTAGCAAACCCCCTGGCTGGCTCTGGCCTTGGGACTGGGGGTCTGACTCACTCTTTCCCCCAGGAAATGACCCTCGGGGGGCTCTGGGTGGGTTCTAGGGGTCTTGACTCTGTCTTCTGGGGTCTGAGTCCCTGTTTCCCCACAGGAATCCCTGCGAATCCCACCGGGAGTGCCCCCACCGTCCCGGCAGCGGCGGCTCCAGACGTGTGACCGCGTGCTCCGATCCTGTGTGGAACAGCTGGGCCGGGAGGGTCCCCCCTCCCTTGGCCCCCCCCTTGTGGCCCTGGCCCAGGAGGCTGCCAGGGGCTACCTCAGCATGGTCCCGAACCCCCCGGGCTTGTACTTGGAGAAGATCCTCTTTCACCTGCTCAAGAACGCTGTGAATTCATGCCGGAGCACCGGGAATTCCTGCTGGGCTGCAGCAGAGCTGCTGTGGGAACGGCTCCGAACCTACGCCCCCCTCCAGGACCCCCCCAAGGACTTCACCACCGTCACCTACAACACCTTCTGTGTCCTCTGGAAAGGGGCAGCGGCCCTGGCAGGGCCTGACCGGCCTCGGGAAGAGGGAAGATCCCTGTTTTCTGCCCAGATCCGTGCCCTGCGCTTCCTACTTCTGCTGGAGCGAGATGGGGGGTATCTGCCCTCCCTGCAGCCCCCCTTCTTCACCTCCCAGACGGCCCAAAAGGCAGCAGCAGCCTCTGCCCTCTATGAGGCTGAGAGGGCTCCCTGCCCTGTGTTCCTGGCTCGGCAGCTCCGGGAATTCCTCCTGGAGACTCTCCGTAACGAAGCCTCAAATCCTCCAAGAATCCAACACTCCCTGTGCTTCCTGGAGCTCACCCTGGAGTGCTCTAGGCACCTCTGCAGGGCTGGCAGGTTCCACGAGGCCCTGGAGGCCCTGGAGGAGGCCAAGGCATTCCTGGGGCACTCCAGGGAGGATTTGGGGGCCCCCCTGGTGCTGCTGGAGGCCGGGATCCAACTGGGAAAGGGGAGGTTCCCCCCAGGGCCCCTACTGTCCCAGGCAGCTGCAGCACTGAGGGGGGAGGGCTCAGAGAGGACCCTTGGGGTGCTGCTGGAGGGGGCCCGGTTTGTGACGTCCCAGCTTGGGGAGGTGACGAGGAGGCGTCGGGAGCTGCCCTTCAGCCTTGAGGACCTGCCTGGGCTCTGTGCCTTCACCGAGGGGCATTGCCAGGCCCTGCAGCGGCTGCTGGGCAGGGTGAGGGCCTGGGGGAGCTGGGAGTGGGTCTGGGGGCAGCTGTCAGGGGTGTGACCCTGGTTTGGGATTTGTGTGAACCCTCTATGTCCCTCTCCGATGTTCTTGTCACCAGGAGCAGCTCCAGAAGCTGCTGAACCTCCAAATCCCACTTTCCTCCTTCCCTGCCCTTCCCAGGTGCATCCCAGCAGCTCCCAGAGACCTTGCAGCCCCTGATCCCCATTCCTCCCATTCCCAAGTCCATGCCTGTCCCCATTCCCAGCTCCTGGAGCTCCTACCCTCTCTGAACCCCTCTTTTCCTCCCTCCAGGTGCCCCCTGATGCCCACAAGCAGCAGGTGATGGTGAAGCAGCTCCTCTTCCGGACCCTCCAGCTCTTCTCCAACACCATCCACGACACCTTCCAGGGCTCCCAGGTACACTCAGGATGGATCCCCAGGATCCTTGGGGTTGGAAGGGGGGCTTCAGTGACCCTGAAGGGGTTCTGGGAGTGCTGGAATCTTCTCCCTTTGTTGGTGGGGTTGGAAAGGGGAGTTTAGGGTGCTCAGGATAAGACCCTTGGGATGCTGGAAGTCCCTTGGGGTTGGAAGAGGGGGCTGGAGGTGCCCTGAGGGTGTTCTGGAAGCTTGCCCCCTCCTTGGTGGGCTTGGAATGGGGGCTTCAGCCACCCTGGGGGATTTCTGGGGGTCCTGGAGGCTTCTCCCCTTGGTGGGGTTGGAATGGGGGCTCAAGGTGCCCTGGGGGTGGTTCTTTGGGGGCTGTGGAGGTTTGGGGTCCCCTTGCTGACCCCCCTGTCCCTCCAGCCCTCAGGGTGGCTGGGGCTGGCCCAGGTGAGCAGGAGCTGCACCCAGAGCGTGACCTGGATGGTGGATGCTCTGAGGGGGCTCCCCGAGACAGACAGGGCCAAGTTCCTCGATGTCACAGGTCAGTGCCACCAAGGGGGAGCCCTTGTCCCTGTCCTGGGGGGAGGGTGTCTCTGTACAGCTGGGAGGTCCCAGTCCCCCTGTGGGTGGGGAGGGGGCTCTCTCAGTGACTTTGGGTCCTTCTCCCCACAGCCTCGTGCACCTTCAAGCTGGGCTTCGCCTTCCAGAGCCGGAACTTTCTGGAAGAGGCCGGAACCATCTGCGAGCCCTTTTGCAGGGGGGTGGGGGAACTGGGGGGCTACGGCTGCCCTGACACTCCCCCAGAGAGGGTATGGGGGGGCTGGGAATGGGGAGAGAGGCAGTGGAGGGATTTGGTCTTGGAATAACCCCTATCCCAAGCTCTGAGAAATTCTCTTCTCAAGGGTGGGACAGGGTTGTCTTAGTGAAGGGAGAGAGGATGGGACCAACTGTGTCCTCCTGGGACCAGCTCTTCCTCTTTTTTTTCCCAACCCTCCCCTTGTTCCAGGTTGGGAAGGGAGACATGAGATTATCCCAGTGAGGGGAGGAACTGAGAGGATAGGAATGGCTTAGCCTCTGAACAATCCCAATTCCCAGGTTCCCTACTCCCAGGTGGGGATGGGATACATGGATGCCCTTCCCTTGGTCCAGAGCAGGTTAAGGGGGATGCAGAACCCCTGGAATTCCCTCTCCATGCCCTGATTCTCTTCCTGTTCTCCCACAGCTCCACAAGTGTTTCCGGATGCAGGTGGAGAGTTGGAAGCGTGTGGGGCAGCCGGAGCGGGCTCTGGGCTCGGTGACCACGTGGCTCCTGGCCCTGGCATGGCCTGGGAGCCCCCTGGCTCGGCCTGAGGGGGTCCTGGGGACCGAGCCCGGGGGGCTCCTGCACGAACCTGTGGGACTCTGGGCCAAGATCAAGTCGGAGGCGGCCAAACAGGGACAGGAAGAGCTGCGGCTGCGGTGAGGGGAAACTGGGGGGCTGGGAGGGACTGTGGTGGGGACTGGGAGCTGCCGTGAGGGTGGTGAGGCCCTGCAATGGATTTGCCAGAGGATGCCCAATTCCTGAGACTGTCCCAGGCCAGGCTGGAGCTGCCTGGGATGGTGGAAGTTCCCAAGGCAGGGGGTGGGATGGGATGAGATGAGCTTTAATGGTCCCTCCCAACACAACCCATTCCATGAATCCATGAAAACAATGGGATTTCTCCCCCCAGGACCCTCAGGGACTCCCTGGAAGGCCATTCCCTGGACAAGGCCACCCTAGTGTCCTTCCTGCTGGCTGAGCTCCAGGCCTACAAGTGCCTGAAGTGGGACACGGGGCCAGAGCGTTACAACGTCCTGTGTGACCTCCTGGAGCTCTGCCCTGAGGACCCTGGGGGGCTCCTTCCTAGAGCTCTGGGGCTCCTGGAGTTGGCCCAGGTCCTGTGCTACCACAGCTTCGCCCCCCACACCGACTGGTGGGTGCCCTGAGACCACCCTCATGCCAAATGCCCCCCGGAAGCAGTGGAGGCACTGGAGGGTTTCAGGTTTGGGGTTTTGGGGAGGGGGTTTGTGGGTCTGGGGTGTGGGAGAGTGTTTGAGGGGTGGGAAGGGGTTTTTGGGGACCCTGG